TTGAACGAGAGAACCTCAAAAGAAGTGCCTTCCTACACGCATCAAGACTGACACTCGGTTCCACCATGCCATTCTGACATGAACATCTGCCAAACCCTGTGCCTTGTTGCGAAGGCTATGCAAGACACTGCGAGACTGCTAAGGCTGAGGATCTGCGATGCCACATCACCTGGAGGTGTCGAGAAATGTTTGGTGAGGGGAAGTGACGATTATGGCTGAGGTGGTGGCTGTCAGAGTCCAAGCCATCTTGCCAACCAAACAGGTCGATTACACACCTGAATTGGCCACGGTTTCTTTGGACATGTTGTGGACCCAACACATCCCAAAGAGAAACTGGAAGAATGTTGATCGAATCTGTGGTCGGCAAAGAGTAATGCGACTTAAGCAGCAACTGAGCTGACGGACATGATGGTCCAGCAGCACAACGCCACCACCGTGAGTGTGAGTTCGATCGCCTGCCAGACTGGAATGAAGCAGAAACTACAAGGTGTCAACAGCATTCCACCACAGTGCTATCTGCATCATGAAGAATATTTTGAATATTTGACAGTGGTTGGTGGGAACTTGTTTTCGTGCCTGCCGCCGACAAAGATCTCTCCATGTACCATCTGCGTTCGCCATTTTCCAGGAACCCCAATGGGGACGCACCTGCGCACGAATTTGATGCTCCTGTGACGAAGCAAAAGTTCCTTAACAGGTGGTTCCAAGGTGGTTCCAAGGTGGTTCCAAGGTGGTTCCAAGGTGGTTCCAAGGTGGTTCCAAGGTGGTTCCAAGGTGGTTCCAAGGTGGTTCCAAGGTTGTGGTCATGCAGGAAATTCCGCTCTTGATGCTGCTACGAATCTCTCAGGCAGAATCAGACTGTTTCTGAAGCGACAAACCACAAGCGCGAACTCAGAGGAACAAGTCTGACACATTGAAAAGGTATAGCCAGCTTCTTACTCTGAGCTGCAGTCAGAATCCTTCAATGACCCCACCATGGAATTTGAGGGATGAAAGTGGAACTCCATAGAACGAACAAACGCAAACATGTCCCAGATTCCCAGATGCTGAACTCAATGTCGTTACCAGGCTTGGTTTGTTCAGGTGACTCATGATTCATTATAATTCATTACACTCAGAGTTTCTTGATTGCCTCCAGATGAGGTATCAACACAAAGCAGAGGTCAGAACATCAAAATACGTATAGCATCTATCAAATATTATCAAATCATCAAATGGCTAGCAATTCCTAGACTGAAGCTAGAAGAAGCCGTCAAGGCTTCTGTGCGCCAGTGCCTCCCCATCCGCCATCTTGGGCTCGTTGGCCTTGCTGTTTAGAACTATAATCTGCCATGCTCTTAGGGGCTCCAGGGTGATCACTGGTAGTTGTGTCACATAAACGATGAGAACCATTTCATGTACCTTCAGCAAGATCAGCAAGATAATAGAAGCCGGGAAGAATATGGAAGAATGACAGGAATCGGGGCAACCAACCTCCAGCAAGGTCACCGGGTCTGCAGGGCTATGAGGCTCCGCAGTCAGCGGTGGCACGGGGATGTGGAAATCCTGGTGTCAGCAAAACTCGCGAGTCAAAACACCACAAGACATCACAAGACCAGAGGTGACCAGAGCCAAGATCACACAAAGACTTGGCAAATTTGATCGCACGGGGATCACATGTCGAATGATTTCAATCTTCAATCTCTATTGTCCCCTGGCTCGCGATCACTTGCCTCCGACTCTACCTTCATCAGTGTGGCCCATGGGTGCCACTGACTCAGGCCGGAGTAAAAGTGGCGTGCCGTCTTCTACGGCAGGATACGCTTTGTGCAAAATGCAGCTGCGTCGGTGTTAGATGCTGCCGTGAGCTCTTAAGGCGGCTATTCCTATTCCTGTCGATGAAGATTTCTGGGATGTTTTAATGGATACTAATCCACTCTCACCGCACATCAAGTAACTAGATTTTTGGCCATATTCCGATGGTCATTCATTTTTGCTCATGCACCCCTTTGGGGTCCGAAGCTGACCGCAGGCGAGGGCACACACAAATGGACTGAAGAACTCTTTACTATTCTGATCTAATATTTTCAAATTTGTGAAGCCTCAGAGTCCTACAACATGCTCGCACATCCACATGAGATCATCTTATTCTAAAGGTAGATGATGAAGTATATTGCCCACAGCTACTTTCCCAAAAGAAACCATGCACTTGGAAGCACTTCTATAATTCTATCCAAAGATCCTATGTCCACCAGGAACCACAGGATATCACTGGGAAATCCTGAGTGCACTACCATAGATATGTGCCCTGAGACAGAGCTACCACTGGAGCTGGCAATCTCCTCCCAGTGCATGGCGTCCAGGTCAGATCAAGACTGTCAGAACGTTTTGTCCCGTAGCAAGCTGCAACCTCCACAAAACGACAGGAATGAATGGTAGGATACGATAGGATTCTTTAAGGCATTGAATCAATTTATGCAAATCAATGCAAATGACCCATCTGATACTCACATCAGTGCTCCGAAAGCAAAGGTCGAGGAAATCGAGATGAAGCAGTTGCAGCCACCTTGTGAACCAATATCCGAAGGATGCAGCTCGAATCAGCATTTTGAGCTATCAACATGGGCCCGAACCTGTCTCATCCTGAGGCTGATACTGAGACTTGCCACCAGCCCTGCCAGGTGGTCATGGTATGTATATAATGGTAAAGAGTTCCACTCGGGCACCCGCCAAAAACATCAGAAACACTTGGGGATCCGCCTCAACCGCATCACTTTTGCTGCTTGTCTTGAAACGCCAATGCAAGCGGGCATACCTGAACAGGGGATCAAAGCCTGTCAGTGTCCAACTGTGCAGAGCCAAGTACAGCTGCAGAGCTGTCGTGAATGATTTCAGCCACAGGGAGTTCCGAAGAATGCGTTGAAAAACCTTTAACATGTGAAATACCCGCCTCTGCGAAGGATATGCAGAAATGCACTCCAACATACACCAACACATGCTCTTCTTTTCAAAACTGGCTCGAACACTGCCAAGTGGTCACTCGATGGCCAGAAGTCGTCGAGAGCTCTCGCATGAAGGCAGTGCCTGTGGTGAAGGACAAATGGAACCGTCACAGAATCACAACATTATTGTCATTGTGGCCTGTAAAAAGCTGAGCAAAATTGGATTGCAGTGTTCCCAATTGACTGCTTGCATCTCGATCGACAATGACAAGAATCTTTGAAGGGATGAGATACATTATATTAATCGTTATATCATATTATATCATATTATATCCATGAGAGGAACTTCGGATCGCAGTTGCCTGCAGCTGGCTCGCCGTTGCAGGCCTGAGTTCAATCCCGAAGCACTAACCTCAACTGGATCCCACAGTGGATCGCAGCGGTGGGCCCTATCCTGGCCAAGTTCATTTCAAGCTGAACCCCGGGGGTCAAATCTAACAGGCCTAACAGCATCCAAAGCACATTTTGCCAAATGTTCAAGAAAGATGCGTTGCTGGAGGTGCCGACATCGGTGAAGCCAGAATCTCAAACACACAAGACCACTACCAATTGCAGTGCACGGATGGTTGAAGGCACAATTGATCAGATTGACCCGGCTTCCCAGGTGGATAAGAACAGCTTTGTGTTCCCCTTGCAGCCGACATCCAGACTTTTGCTGCACGCGAAGGAAGTATCTTTCCAAGGTGGGGAACAAGAAGTAACAAGTTGAACAAGCATCGAATACAACAAGTGTAACCAGTGTATAAATCATAAATAGCAAAGGCAAATCAGATTCGTGTCGCACCTCAGTCGGAAAAGATTCCCCATTCAGGAAGGCGGTCTCCGACCCACCATGGGGAAGCAGAATGAAACACTGGCCTATCTTTACATGGGAGAATCGTCCACTAGGCAGTCGGGATTTTGGCACGTAAAGCAGCATGGAGTTGCAGAAATTTATAGATCAATCGGCGCTCCAATTGAGTCTTAAATGATTTGATGCTTTTCACTGCCTGGGGGCGACTCTATACGGGTGCAGACTTCACTGCAAGCCACTGTGGAAACATATATCTACAATCTACAAGCACTATCGATTGCCACAAACAAGTTGTGATTGCATCATGTTATGGTCATGTCACAAAGTCATTCATCAGATTGGGTGTCACTTAATCAACTGATGGTTGATATCGAATGGTTAAATGGTTTAAATCAACTATCATCAACTATTGACTGCAAATCAACTTGTTTGGATATGCTCTCCGTTGTTTATTGCTTTCGCAATGCCCCGTAGCTCAGGAGCCTGGAATGAGGTGCCATAGCACTCTGTCGGAACGAGGCCTGGGAGGTGCCTCGCACAAGAATCTGGGCGGTGCGGTTCAATGGAACACATTGGACCTGGTTTTGATTCTGTCCCGAATGTCTCAATATGTGTCAATATGTGACAATGCATATCAATGCATTACCATGACAATGGTAGCTCCCATGGTATCTGAATGTAGCTTGGTTCTCAAGACATGGAGCCGAGGTCCAAACAGCTTTGCCCTTCTTTGAAACGGGACTCCTCCGTTGCTCGATCCATCCCTGGTCGCAGTACTACCGTGACACAGAGAAGTCAGCATGTCCTCAATGTTGTTATCATTATATATTATATAATATACTATTACAAATATATATATATATATACATATGCTACAAATATACATTAATATATAATTATACTTGAAAATATACCATGTTTCTGCCTCTCTGGAATATCAACATGAAATAACCCACTTCCACCGGGGTGCTCAGCTTGGCCACCAGGTCTCCCAGCCGGGTGCGGGGACTTCGGCTCGGGTGAAACTGTGAAGGTGACCTCAGTGTCACAGAACCATGGACTGTTGGAGCACATTTTGGATTCTAGGTAGCTAAGCCAAATTACACCGGCATAGACCCCAGATAGAAAAGGTTGGAACTGATGGTTCCCAACGTGGGAACCAAAGGTTACCATGGCAAGGAACTGCCGGTTCCCAGACCTTGAAACTTACGGTTCCCAACCTGGGAACCAGAGGTTACCATTGCAAGGAATTGCCGGTTCCCAGAAGTTAGAATTTATGTTTTCGAAGCTAAGCAACTATCATTGTAAGGAACTGCGGATTCCCAAAGTTTGAAACTCATGGTTCCAAACCTGAAAAAGCATACGTTACCAGTGGAAGGATCTGTTGATTCCAAAAAGTTAGAACTCATGGTTCTTAATGTTGTTTTGTTTTGTTTACTGAGCCGGTAACAGAACCTTTTGTTTTGCTTAATGGACCGGTAGCGGAATGTTTGCGTTTGGCTGTTGGGCCGGCAAAAAAATGTTTTTGCACGAAAAAGGTGCATGTCAAAATGATATGAAAACAGTTTCTTTACAATTTATGGTTTTGCTTAATGGACCGGTACAGAACGCTTTGTTTTGCTTAATGGACCGGTACCGGAATGTTTGCGTTTGGTTCATGGCAAGGAACTGCCGGTTCCCAAAGGTTGGAACTCACTGTTGCCAACGTGGGAACCACAGGTTACCATTGCAAGGAACTGCCGGTTTCCACAAGTTAGAAGTCATAGTTCCCACAATGGGAACCAGAGGTTACCATTGCAAGCAACTGCCGGTTCCCAGAGGTTGGAACTCATGCTTCCCAACCTGGGAACCATAGGTTACCATTGCAAAGAACTTCCGGTTCCTAAAGGTTGGAACTGACGGTTCCCAACGTGGGAATCAAAGGTTACCATGGCAAGGAACTGCCGGTTCCCAGACCTTGAAACTTACGGTTCCCAACCTGGGAACCAGAGGTTACCATTGCAAGGAATTGCCGGTTCCCAGAAGTTAGAATTTATGTTTTCGAAGCTAAGCGGCTATCATTGTAAGGAACTGCGGGTTCCCAAAGTTTGAAACTCATGGTTCCAAGCCTGAAAAAGTAACGTTACCAGTGGAAGGACCTGTTGATTGCAAAAAGTTAGAACTCATGGTTCTTAATCTTAATGTTGTTTTGTTTTGTTGTTTACTGAGCCGGTAACAGAACCTTTTGTTTTGCTTAATGGACCGGTAGCGGAATGTTTGCGTTTGGTTCATGGCAAGGAACTGCCGGTTTCCAAAGGTTGGAACTCACGGTTGCCAACGTGGAAACCACAGGTTACCATCGCAAGGAACTGCCGGTTCCCAGAGGTTGGAACTCCTGGTTCCCAACCTGGGAACCATGGGTTACCATTGCAAGCAACTGCCGGTTACCAGAGGTTGGAACTCATGCTTCCCAACCTGGGAACCATAGGTTACCATTGCAAAGAACTTCCGGTTCCTAAAGGTTGGAACTGACGGTTCCCAACGTGGGAACCAAAGGTTACCATGGCAAGGAACTGCCGGTTCCCAGACCTTGAAACTTACGGTTCCCAACCTGGGAACCAGAGGTTACCATTGCAAGGAATTGCCGGTTCCCAGAAGTTAGAATTTATGTTTTCGAAGCTAAGCAACTATCACTGTAAGGAATTGCCGGTTGCGAAAGCTTGAAACTCATGGTTCCATGCCGGTTGCCAGAAATTAGAATTGATGTTTTCGAAGCTAAGCGGCTTTCATAGTAAGGAACTGCGGGTATCCAAAGCTTGAAACTCATGGTTCCAAGCCTGAAAAAGTAACGTTACCAGTGGAAGGACCTGTTGATTGCAAAAAGTTAGAACTCATGGTTCTTAATGTTGTTTTGTTTTGTTTACTGAGCCGGTAACAGAACCTTTTGTTTTGCTTAATGGACCGGTAGCGGAATGTTTGCGTTCGGCTGCTGGGCCGGCAAAAAAAAGTTTTTGCACGAAAAAGGTGCATGTCAAAATGATATGAAAACAGTTTCTTTACAATTTTATGGTTTTGCCTAATGGACCGGTAAAGAACGCTTTGTTTTGCTTAATGGACCGGTACCGGAATGTTTGCGTTTGGTTCATGGCAAGGAACTGCCGGTTCCCAAAGGTTGGAACTCACTGTTGCCAACGTGGGAACCATAGGTTACCATTGCAAAGAACTTCCAGTTCCTAAAGGTTGGAACTGATGGTTCCCAACGTGGGAACCAAAGCACAGCACGCTGCACAGCACTCTGCACAGCACCCTGCACAGCACCCTGCACAGCACCTTTCACAGCACCCTTCACAGCACCCTGCACAGCACCTTTGCGAGACTTCGCCACCGCAGTCTGGAGCCCTGCACAGCACCCTGCACAGCACCCTGCACAGCACCTTTGCCAGACTTCGCCACCGCACTCTGGACAACACCTTGCACAGCACCCTCCACAGCACCCTGCACAGCACCCTGCACAGCACCCTGCACAGCACCTTTGCCAGACTTCGCCACCGCAGTCTGGACAGCACCCTGCACAGCACCCTGCACAGCACCCTGCACAGCACCTTTGCCAGACTTCGCCACCGCACTCTGGACAGCACTCTGCACAGCACCCTGCACAGCACCTTTGCCAGACTCCTCGCCACCGCACTGTACAGCACCCTGCACAGCACCCTGCACAGCACCTTTGCCAGACTTCGCCACCGCACTCTGGACAACACCTTGCACAGCACCCTGCACAGCACCCTGCACAGCACCCTGCACAACACCTTTGCCAGACTTCGCCACCGCAGTCTGGACAACACCCTGCACAGCACCCTGCACAGCACCCTGCACAGCACCCCGCACAGCACCCCGGCCAGACCCCGCCACCGCAGTCCGGACAGCACCCTGCACAGCACCTTTGCAAGACTTCGCCACCGCAGTCTGGACAGCACCCTGCACAGCACCCTGCACAACCCTGCACAGCACCTTTGCCAGACTTCGCCACCGCACTCTGGACAACACCCTGCAGAACCCTGCACAGCACCTTTGCCGGACTTCACCGCAGTCTGGACAGCACCCTGCACAGCACCCTGCGCAGCACCCTGCACAGCACCCTGCACAGCACCCTGCACAGCACCTGAACAGCACTCTGCACAGCACCCTGCACAGCACCTTTGCCAGACTTCGCCACCGCAGTCTGGACAGCACCCTGCACAGCACCCTGCACAGCACCATGCACAGCACCTTTGCTAGACTTCGCCACCGCAGTCTGGACAACCCCGCACAGCACCCTGCACAGCACCTTTGCCAGACTTCGCCACCGCAGTCTGGACAGCACTCTGCACAGCACCCTGCACAGCACCCTGCACAGCACCTTTGCCAGACTTCGCCACCGCACTCTGGACAACACCAAGCAGAACACCCTGCACAGCACCCTGCACAGCAAGACTTCGCCACCGCACTCTGGCACAACACCCTGCAGAGCACCCTGCACAGCACCTTTGCCAGACTTCGCCACCGCAGTCTGGACAACACCCTGCACAGCACCCTGCACAGCACCTTTGCCAGACTTCGCCACCGCAGTCTGCACCCTGACAGCACCCTGCACAGCACCTTTGCCAGACTTCGCCACCGCAGTCTGGACAGCACCCTGCAGAGCACCCTGCACAGCACCTTTGCCAGACTTCGCCACCGCAGTCTGGACAACACCTTGCACAGCACCCTGCACAGCACCCTCCACAGCACCCTGCACAGCACCCTGCACAGCACCTTTGCCAGACTTCGCCACTGCAGTCTGAACAGCACCCTGCACAGCACCTTGGCCAGACTTCGCCACCGCAGTCTGGACAGCACCCTGCACAGCACCCTGCACAGCACCTTTGCCAGACTTCGCCACCGCAGTCTGGACAGCACCCTGCACAGCACCTTTGCCAGACTTCGCCCCCGCAGTCTGGACACACCCTGCACAGCACCCTGCACAGCACCCTGCACAGCACCCTGCACAGCACCCTGCACAGCACCCTGCACAGCACCCTGCACAGCACCCTGCACAGCACCCTGCTCAAAAGTTCGCCACCGAAGACCCCACCTTTGAGAAGTAAGAACCCCTATAGCTTGCCAGCTATCTGGGGAAAAAACATCTAAAAAAACCAGAGCGGTTCCTTCGTGATTTTGAATTTGCCGATTGTGGTTCATGTTCTCACAGATTCTCCAGCATGCCGAGAACAACTGCGCCCTGATGTACAGACCCTACAAGATCGCAGTGACGCTCCAGCAGGTTGGTTGGAAACAGTATCACAAACCTTTGATAAACATGGATAAACTTGAGCCAAAACGAACGGGACGAAAGCAACTTGGGCAAGGAGAGATGTGTATCAAGAGAAAAACTGAATGTATACAGCCAAGAAGCCACAAGCATGCTACGTCGCCATCCCCAACGTCAATGTCTTCTGGTAATCTACTTGTAAGAAATTCCAGTGTATTGACGCAGGATACGAAGCAGCGAATCGCTTGTAGATTAGAATGCTCGCAAAGTGACAGCAAAGTATGATGCTGTAGTAAACTTTTCATTAATTTTACCAAACACTGAAAGGTGGATGTCGAAATCAGCTGGCAGAACACAATCCTCACTCTGACATCTCGCAATTTCAGCCTTCTGCTGGAGTAACATGCGACGGGCTTCAAACCCGGGGGAGGGGAAACAATGCAGTACTTGTCAAATGCGTAGCAGCCATTGCTATTGAGAGCCAATTTCTACTCAACTGTGAGAACCAAGCAAACCACAAGCCACGCACAACCATTTTATGCTGATTTTTCAGTCAGCAGTATTGAAAAAAGGTCGCACCTAAGCATACTCAATCTAACCCTTTCGACCCGCTAATACAAACCGACATACATACATTACATTACATTTCATTGCATTGCATTGCATTGCATTACATTACATTACTTTACATATATACAGACACACATACATCACATCCCATTACATGCAGACAGACATTCATTCAGGCAAACAGACAGACAGATATACACACAGACCACAGACCAAAGTAGTTACAACGCTAAACCAAACAAAACACATCAGGATGGACTCAGCGGGATTCGAACCCGCAGGGGGTGACATCTGCATCTGCATCCAATCCAATCTGCCCCCAATATATTGCTCTATAAAGCAAAGCTAAATCCAGCTAGCAAGCTAGCTTTCGTGATAAATCCTTCAGCATCTTTCAGCTAGTTGACTCAGCTCTTTGGCCAAGGGACGTGTTGATCGACCGAAGGAGATCTGGTGCCCGGTTTGTGCAGGATGCTGTTCAGGCTGTACGGGCTGTCATGATTCCTGACTGTTGAACAGCCAATCTGATGAAAAAGGTAGGAAATACAGTGCTTAAAGAGGGCTGCAGCTCGTCCAGATTTGCTTTAAATGTTTCCGATTGATTCTGTCAAACCCTTTACAGAATGGACGTGGTGAAGGCAGCCGAAATTTTGATGCACCAGCACTGGGTACAGGTCTCCAGCTTGCCTCTTGGACTTTCTCATGGATAAGAGGGCAGAGTGTCGTCAGAGTGTGGTCAGAGTGTCAGCTTAGCGCATCCTTCAAGTCCAGTCCCTCCTTTATTGCATCAAACCTGGCAAAAGAAGAGAATGCCATAGCAACTTCTCTACTGCAGCTGTATATCAATCGAGGAGGACTATGATCAAACGTGATCCTACATGAAGTGAAACTATTCACCGCATGATCCTTGGTGTCAACGGTGTCAACCCAAAAGTATCCAAAAGTGATATCCTCAGATTCTGAGGGAGGATCCTGGATTATGTCACCAGCTTTTCTGCTGAGCTTCGCATGTGCTGATGGCTTCATAACTGGCGAAGGCGGGGGCAGCAACAAATGGGACTCGTCAGGAGACGACCTCGTGAAGGAGGCGGCGACTGCAGGGTCTCCAAATGTGCACAGCAAGAAAATACAAAAGCTTGCTGTACCTTGCTGTCATGGCTACTCGACATCGGATGTCAAGCTTTAATAATTATTAAGCAAGCTTTAAGCATGTCAAGCGATAAACATCTTTGTAGCATCATATACCACGTGGTCACAATCTCCTGTGATCTGATGCTTCCAGGAAACTGTGACGAAGTTGCCGCATCTGGTGGTAGCGAAGCGGGCAAAAGGCTCGAGTTCTCCTCTTTTGCAGACACGGAAAAATGTTCCTTTAGTTCCACTTCATCTACAAAAATATCAAAAAATTGCATCTAGCAGACGCAAAACATCAGTAGCAGTGTATGAGTTGGAGAACTGCTCCAAATGAAAACCACGTTTGACAAAGCAATACTATTTTGCTTTGTCCTTCCAAAAATGTTTTTTGGGGGGATACGTTTCTCTTGACATTGACGTCCACGCCTCCGGCATGTGAATTTGCCGAACCAATTCTTCAAGGCCTACAGAGAACACAGTCACCATTGTCACCGTGAGTCTAAGTATATATTATATATATAGATATATCGTTTATCTTTCCTACTTTTCACAGATGAAGAAGGTGGCTGCACAGTGGCTGTCGGAGTGGCATTGATGTGGGTGAGACATGGGTGAACAGTGAACATCGTACTTTCTCAAAGTCTTCGGAAGGACCCAGAATCAGCAGACGGAGGGTGCTGGCGCCAACAGGAACCCACCGGACAGAGCTTGAAGGCAGATCATGTACATGCCTTCTTCATCATCAAGATCTTTCCACCAGAACTTGGGCCTGAAGCGGCTGATGCAACCGGGCCAACCGGCCCATGAGACCCACATATATTTCTCCATGCACCAGCCTGGAGGTCAGACGATTGGAGTCTGCTGCATCATCCAGTGGTGAATCTGGAGGCAAGCTCGGCAAATCGGAAGGCCTGCAGTGACCCCCCAGTCACCAGGAGGCAAAACGGCAAATGTATCAAGGTCTCGGTTCAAGGATGAGCGACCTGAGGAACCACATCATATCCATTCCAGGCGTCGATGACGAGAAGCTGATGGTACAGTAATGGTAAAGTCTATCGTTATCTGCAATACCCTTCCTAATCAAGAGCAACCAGAGGCCAGAAACAACAACGATATTGTAGAAGAATATTCTGGGATCGGCAGTTTTACTTTCTTGTGTTGATGTTTGATTCAAAGGTGCCCCTTGGACCTGCTTCCTGCCTGGCCCACAGAATCGAACCGCATGGATCACAGTCTTCTTGCCTGAAAGTCGATGGGTTGGTCAGCGCGGATCGCCCACGGGAGCTGGTATGCTGGGAAAGGCCCGATATATTTACTATAATATTTATTTATGTATTTATCTGTTTGATCTATATTATATATAATCATATAATATATATATTCATAATAAAATCATATTATATCTATACATACATATATACATAGAGAGAGAGAGAATTATAATGAATTATAGATAGATATATCAGCTTAAATGTGTCTTTCTTTATCCACCGTATCTAGAAAAGCAGCTTGGAGTGTTTTCAATTGAGATGCAGAAAGCATTTCCACATGTCATTCATGTGGCACCTCCGGAAGTCGACACCATCAGGAGCACCAATCCTGGGCCGATCCCACTGTCATCTTTACTTCTTTGAATTGGATAGGCCGGTGAGGTTGTCTGTAGTTACTGTAGTTCTTCACTGTCAAATGTCCAAAATGCACGGCTTACCAGTGCGTATCACTGAAATCTGCGGTCTTTCGACCCTACTGATCTTGAACAATGGCGACGTGTAATCTGATGCACAGCTTTTTGACAATGTCCTGGTCATCTCTACAAGGTCTCGTGGTTTTCCTTCATCTTTGAATTTGGATTGATCTCAGTGTTCATATGCTATTGATTGCTATTATATTTGTCACCCATCAGACGTGCCACTTTCAACATGCACAAGTCACCCTTGATGTTGCGGAGGTCGACCGAAGGTGGGCCGTGTCAACAGCAGAGACACCTTCGGCGAACTTGTGCCAGGGCGGTGCATGGTCTCTACTTGCTGCGGCTACCGCTGGAAGGATTCCAGCGAAAAGAATTCAGCGACGTTTGGTTGGTTGTGAAATTTGAGTTTCGTGGCAAGTCTGGAAAGATTTGAACAAACTATTTATTGAAGCCCAGGATGTGAGATGAGACCCATAGCGGCCAAGACAGCATCGAGTCGAGTCTTTCACAAGAAAACTGAACATGTTGGAAAGGGTTTCCAGCATCATTGAGACATTCTTATGTTCTGCATGCAAAAACAAACCAAACTAAAGTGGGAACCACCTGTATGAAATCGTTCTGCTGAACTTCAAGCATACATTTTCTCACCTCCTTGAAATGTGCAGCACAGTCTGGCCCGCACCAGTTGCTGCAAAAGCCATCCTGCGCTGACACCGTCTCACCAGCACTTCCTGTTTTTTCTGCCCACACATGGCCCCAAAGAAAAGGGTGATTGGTTTTGATTGTGCGGCTTTTGCTTGTGGAACTTGTGCTTTCACTTTACATCTGATGAAATACTCTGAGCATCCTGCTTTATCCTTAGCTAACCAAGAGTTTGCAAATTCCCCCACGGCCCGCAGCCAAGCCCAACCTCTGGGCAGGTTCTATCCCGCCTTCGGGACAGGACAGGGGTGTTGAAGCATGGGAGACAGTGAGGCACACTACGAAGCTTAGATTGGAACGAACCACTGCCGTCCTTTACGAACTGTTGCACGATGCTACGATGCTGGTGTTTCTTTAGTTGACCTGGCCTGACCTGGCCTGACCTGGCCTGGCCTGACCTGGGATATCTGAGGGTTGAACACTCGACTGCAAGCCACTGGTGACCTGACGAAGTGCTCACGCAGGTGGACAGGTTTCAAACTGCAGTGAAGAATGGGGGTTCAAATTGCCAGGATTATCCGAGATAGGTCATGAAGTCATGAAGGACTCTTCTTTTTACTTCCCAATTTGATGTCCATCGCATCCCTCCACGAATCGGCCCACCTGAGAACTGGATCTGCTTGGACCGTCGAATCACTCAACCTGAGCAGCACGGTACGGCAGGGCCATCTAGCGCCACATCATGTGCCACATTGACCATCTGAGTGCCAAACGATGCCTTGGGCTTTTTCGTGAAGGCAATGGATGGCTTAATTGCCGGCTTCGAGGAAAGCAACAAGGGAGCCTGGACCAGGAGATTTAGGTCATAGAGGATCAACCAGTGGGACCAAAATTTAGGCCAAAAGATGCCAAAAGAGTACCACCAAAACTCCAGGACGAATAGTTGCGCACAGTTGAGCATTGGTGTGATTGCCTGGCTCCCGCACAGGCCGCACGCTTGCATGCAGGAGACCTGGCCAAGCTTCACCACGATCGTTTATGTGACATGACCATTGTCTTCCAACATTCATAAGCCAGTCCCATATATCCCAGATGTAGGATTGATATTGATTGATATTGGTCTCCCACCACCCAGCTTTCCTGCCTCAGGTTCAGGCCTCGGAGATTGCTATGTTTGTATCTTTGATGGCTCATGGGGATGGGACAGCATGGAACAGCAGCCTGGGCCCCAACCAGTCTCGATCCAGGAGCTCAGTCTGCATGCTGGTGGGGACTGATGGCCTTCAGGAATCAGACCCTGAGGTGGATCATTCGCAAAACATCCTGGATTTTTTAAATATTCAGTTTATCCGAGTCCCCAGTGTGTTGAGACACATCTGCTGAGTTCCTGGCGTCTCAACAGGTCCAAGCTCCTGCACCATTCTGAGATCATCGCACAAGTTGGATTGGCTGAACCAAGTTTGGTAACTGTGGTAACTCTCAACTCGAACGAATGTCCAATGTCCAGTGTCCCAAGGTTTAGGGCACCGAAAGCAACAGATGTCCTGGAGGGTCAGGAGCCGCGGCAAGTGCTCTTTGTCTTGCCATTGCAGCAGGTCCCACAAGCCCTGGAGTTGGCGATTGGCGATCAGACATGTGATGCCACTTGTGAACTCCTGAAGAGACCTGGCCTTGAAGCCCCACTGCGACCTTGGCTGTACATCAGTACTCAAATCAAGAAGAATGGGCCACAGACTCCCAAAGCTCAACAACCTGCAGTTTCCCTAGCCCACCAAAATGCATAAGGCTGACGTGAATAGTCTGCACAGAGGAGTCCAACCTCTTCGCCCGTCCTGGGAATCTGACATGATTGCTTCCATCCTGAAATGCCTCAGATTGATGGTCGGCTCAGGGAACAGTCCAGGGAGAAAAGGGATACCTTTGAAATGTGTGCCTTCGGGGGCGTCTCCATCTCAATTGTCGCAGGAATCGAACTATTAATCAGCTGTCCGATCTCTGCTCAAACAAATCCACACAAATTGAACTGATCACTGGCATGGTTTTTGCATTGTATTCTTTTCAAGCCGCCACAGACAGGAAAGCTGTCTAAACGCTTAAGGGATCAAACAATTGCAGAGGTCTCTCTATATCCATCCATCCATCGATCTATTCATCTAACAATCATATGCGGTAGTTATAGAGTATGTATATATAATATGCTATATAATCTGTTTACCAGACACGTTTTGTTTTGCTTGTATCTGCTAGTTTGCACTCAAATAAATCAACCCTGAAAGTGGCAATTGTGAAAGCTTCAGCGCATGGTCGAAATAAAATCGGATTTCCAAGATTCCCCACAAGACCTCAGCACGATCTGATGGGCAGGCGCCTGACAGAGATGTTTGACCAAGGCGACCAAGGGAATCTGCCATGGAGGTTTCAGCACAGCCATGTACTCCAAGATGGTTGCCGTCGTCAAAATGTTGACACCCCTGTCCTCCCCACCTGCTTCATGAAAGTCGCATGGAGTGTTGGTTGAGAAGAACACCAGAGATGACGAACGTGATAACAATTATCAATTTGAGAAGAGCTTCAAATGTCGTTGTTTTCAACAATCTCAGAAAGTAGGAAGCTGATATCGCCAACTGCGGAGGTTGTTTCAGAACAACAGAACTTCAGAACTTCAGTCAGATGACACTTGGCCGTTCCACTCTGACTATAGTGACTAAAGACACTCGTTAGGTTCCGTATCAGTTGATAGATATCACGCTCTTATTCAGGATTCTCTAACACAATTCCAGAAGCCAAGACAGCAGCGGAACACGTGTACAGCCCTTGCAGAGTTTCCCCTAAGGCAACGAGGTCACCCGACCAAAAGTCCTCACTGTTGAATCTATCATCGTGTCCAAAGGTTCCCCAACGTGCGGCCAGGTACGGAGCTGTCTGTGCCTGGCACATCAATCCCAGATATCCCAGGGAAAATGTCGGATATATCTGACGTCGATGGTGCACAGTTCGCAAGGACGTATCGGCTGTGATCGCGCTGATTCCTTGTTGATTCACAGAGGCTGTCGGTTTTTCCACGTGTGCAGATCCCTTCCAAGCGAGGTGGTTTGTTTGCTCTGCCTTTTCGGGACAAGATTGCTGTGGCAAAGGTCTCCTACCATCGGCGTCGCAAAGCGTTATTTCATCCATGATCAAGAAGCACTACACAGCAAATCTGAAGGAGTTTCAAGTATGGCCTTCACTTTGTATCCTACAGGGTGATTTACACTTGAAATCACTGGAAGATGTCATACATTATACATTGATATACATTGCATACATGTCATACATTGCTTTATGATCTTTATGTGGTTGTCTTTGATCCAGTGCAAAAGAATTTGCTACAGGATGCCCTCCTCCAACATCTGGACATATCTTCGGTGCTGGCTGGCCAACTGAAACAAGTCAGCCTCGCAGCGACAAATGAATTGCAGCAAATAATCATCAAAATTAATTCAGCGAATTGATTTGTTTCGTCCAAAGCTTCCACAAATTAAGGCAGCCAGCCACAGTCAGCCAACCTTCTTTTCCAAAGTCAGTTTCCACAAATGCAGTCAAACGTAGCGTGCAATGGCTCGATAGCTTGAGGTGGACATGTGGAAATGCAGAAGGAACTTCCCTGATCAAACTCAGCCAGGAAGCCGTGTACTTCACAGGCTCGCCTGGGGGTTTAGCATGATGCAGCTGCGTGTTCTGTCTATGCTGTTTCGTTACTAATTACTGCAAGTACTGTTTTGAAGACTAAGGCATCGATTCTGGCATGATATGACTTTGTCTAGAATCACATAAAGTTGTCATTTTGTTGTTAATTCCTCAGAAAAAATAAGAATGCAACACCTGCAGTTTCCGGAAAGCCCCAACAGTGGGCCCCGTACCTTCTGGAAATGGTGGCAGCGAAGGTCGTTCGCAAGATGGAAGGCACCCTTGGTCGTGAAGTTGATGTTGACTGCATCTTGCAGGGGATTCTGTGATTCTGTGAACCCATATGGGTACCCATATGAACCCCTCCATAAATTTGGGTTTCCTGAGAAGGAAACACCCTTTGCCACACCACAAGATGTGGAGCTCAAACTCCTGGCTCTCTAGTGACATCGACCCCTCCATGCCATGTTTTTGGTCCACGGCGTAGAGCCGGCCATTGAGGACGTCGAAGTTCACTGTAAGCACCGCAGCTACGTTCCTGGCAAAGTCATGGCTCAGTTGATCCAGCTTGTAGGGTTGGAACGGTTCAGATCATGATCAACCACTGTGTCATTGATTCCCACCAGAACAGAACAGAAACCCAAGCTTGTTTCGGGGTGTGATTTAGGAAACAAAATCAGATCCACAGAAGTACTGCAAATCCCCTCCCCGCAGCCCTACAGCAGTGCAGAATGCAAGAGACTACCAACGAATTGAAGAAGGATTCCTCCTCCAAACCAAAAAAATATTAGATAGCATTGGTGCAAGTGGCTCCTCTACTCGCTGACCGCAAGGACAAGCTTGCTTGACCTTGCAACGACAAGGCGTGTCCTGGCCGGGGACTGCTCCTGATATAGAAAAAATGCTGACATGTCAACTATCAAAGACCCGGAAAAAAAAAACAGAATATATATATATATACAGTGTATATATATATATATACGTATATATATATATACTACAATGATCTATGTCTGCTGTATATCCATAATTATCATCTATTATCAGATAGTATGGGGATATTAATTGTCATGATCATCAAATATTAATCCATCAATGGAGATTCATTATTATGGAGATACTCACTCCACATCATGATATCCAGTATAATCTCACCGCATATCTGAAAATTATCATTATTTCCAATGGTGGATGATAATTATCACCAATTATCATTGATTGTCATCATATGATTAGTCCAATCCATCATATTTCAATTAGCACATATTTGCATGAATTATCACTGATCCATCATTCTCAAGAATTATCAATATTCATTGCTGGATTGCTGCTGGATGTGCGTGCTGCAGCATTTTTAGAAGCGCTGAAACCAACAAACTCCTCACACTCGGATCCGGGATGGCAAGGTGCCTGGACAGAAACCCTGGATTTATCGGCTGCTGTGGCTATGGCTGGATTTCTTCCTCCGATTCTGGGATGATGAAACCTTGGAGTTTGTCTCACTATCACAACAAATTGCAGTTCTGCCTGGCAGGTGTGGCTGCAGTGAACTCGCCTCACCCAGCCATATTGAATTGACAATGGATGACAATGGCATCTCCATCGCAAGACACTGCGACTCACAAAACTGGCCTTGCACCGCAGGGCTTGGAGCAATCCTTGCACTCGCCTTGCAGCAGGCCGTTGATAAAAATTAACCAACATGACCTACACACGACTGCACACGACTGCACATGACTGCACATGACTGCAAGATGCCAAGCAAACGAACTGCCTGCGTGGCATTGCGATGAGCAGCTGTGACCGCAGGCAAGCTGCTTGCCTAGGCCAGTGGAACATTGAAATATAGCCTCATGAATACAGCGCACTGCAAGACCTCTTCTTTACGCTCTTCCCTATGTCGGTATGCCCTTGACCCTCAAGCCGGCAAGCAAAGATCTTTTTCTGTCGCAGTCAATACAGCAGCTGCTGCGAATGTCAACAAGGTGACTTATGCAAACAACTCCACCACATCCTTCAGCCTCTCTTGCACTTGGCTGGAATTTCCACCATGTTCAGGATCACCCCAGCTTATCACTGTCCTATCTCCAAGAAGTGCAGCAAAAGCCCAGGAGGATCCACAGATCTGCTGCACGTTCACCAACTCTGACCGCACCCTTGAGATGTCTCCTCCCTTGGACCTGTGCGGAAAAGTTCTCAAAACTTCCATGGGGAGATGACCCAACCCTGAATCTGCGTTGCACAACTGTATCTACATTGTATAGTGGCATACCAGTAGTTAACATAAGAAATTTAGTTCTCCCATTCGATCAGTCATGTCACGACTCCAACTGAATGCAAGCCCCTGCGGGCCTGTCGCCCCATGCAGTCACGGTGCCATCCTTCTTCAAAGCAGCAAAGGCCAGTGAGGAAGCCGACAGTCTCTGGACATCATGCAACGATATCGAAGGAAGAGCTCCCCAGCTTACCACAGAACCCCTTCGATCCAGAGCAGCAAAAGCATCTGCACAAGCACAGATTTGGCAAATGCTCTTTAGCTGGCTTTGGACCTGCCGCCAAGGAAATTGCAGAAACAGACTCCAACCCGTTCCAAGTCCATCTTCCCTTTTGTTGTTGTCTTTGAGTGCGAACATTTTGCATGGAGCACAATGCTCAAGTTAAGAATATGTCAGAATAATCTAGATAAGTTAAGTTAAGTGAGAATATTGTCAGAATAATCTATATTTATATTTATATTATATAAATAAGTTTGCTTTGATCAATTTCACCGTGCGCCTGTCCGCCATCTCCACCATGCTGCGCATCTCCCCACGTGATGATACAGCCATCACTTCGGAGAGCTGCAAACGCCCAGGATGTGCTTCGGAGCTGCAAGACGTTGTACAGCTGAGATTGCACTGACCTGTGGACAGGTGCATGGCTGTGCGGATGTTTTCAAAAAAAAAATGGCGACTGCAAATCTCAGAACTCTTTCATCTTGGATTCTTGGGGCATGAAAGCTTGCCTGCTGTCGCCTCCCTTCTTGTCCACACCCCAAGTGATCACCTAGGGCATCTGTTGAGAACTTCTACATGCAATGGCAGAGCATGGCATGTCTATTCCAACTGAGCACAGCGCATGTCCATCATGTCTCAATGCTGCAAAGGACCAAGAAGATGCGCAGACACTCTTCACATTCACGAGCTGCTCCTGATAACTCGAATCCGAATCTTCCGAATGTTCCGAATAACGCCATGATCCACAGAGGTCTGCGTTTGCACCTGTGTAACCAGTCGTTTTGCACAGACCCATCCTGGACAGCACTGCTATCACCGCCCTTTCGTTCATCACCCCAAGTCACTGCAGAGCCATCGTTTTTCACAGCTGTGAAAGCCCAAGTGGCCCCAGACAGCTGGCACACGTCGTGAAGTTGATCCTGGAGATTGGGGACAGAGGAAATCGTCATTGAACAAATTGAACCAAAGAAAGGCAATCTCTGATATCTCTGACTCTTGCTCATCTTTGTCAAAACCTGGGGAGTTCTTCGCATGCCCACCATAGTGAACAGACATCAACAGACCATATGCCCAGTGCAAGTTGTCCTGCACTGCAAAGCAGTCACCACCAGCGCTTGCACAACCCCAGCACACAACTGAGCCGTCATTTTTGAGTGCTGCAAAGGCATAGGAAGAAGGGCAGACACAGCGTACATCGACCAGCAAATGCTCCACCGCTGAAGAGTCGCCACCTTGACATTGAAAAATGCCCAGCTGAACCCAAAAGCTCAAAATAGTTGCAAAATGTTCCAAGGTAGCAGGTAGCCAAGAAAGGACCAGAAAGGAGAAATCCTGCCCCAATTGGCATCAGTCATGATCATCCATGCTGCTCCATGCTCGTTTGGTATCTGCCAGCCTTGTTTGCTTCGGATTCCTTCTAAGGCTGTCTTAATTTCAATCCAGGTGTCCAACTTCAGGGTCACCCCAAGTGACTACCTTTCCCTCGGTGATGGCAGCGATGGCACCGGAGTTGGTACACACCGTCTGGACATTTCGAAGATGATTTGGCACCTCACAACAGGAGCTGCCTCAGCTGCAGGACCCAGAGGAAACCAACTGTGCACCCATCACAAGAACCAAAGCTGAATGAGCCAAAGCGCCACCCCACACCACCAAACCTCCGTCCTCTCGCAATGCAGCGAAGATGAGGCTCTTGCTGTGCCATTGACAGGCAGGATCCTGAGCTGCCCCTGTGGTCACAACGCCAGGGACGCTACAGCGGATTTGGAATAGCTGCGGTCAGTTCAAAGCAAGCAACTGGTCTGTCCACCACACAAAGTAATCGATCTCCATCTTGTACGCCTTCATCCTCAAGGGACCTCCAAAGCGATATATGCTGCGCTGGAAGGAGTCAATTGCACAGTCTTGTATAGTATACGCAGGTCTTGGAGAAGCTCGAGTCAATATCTGAATCATATCCTGTCTGTTTCCTATCTATGTGTATCTCTATCTAGTTATTTCCCCCTGCTATCATTTTCTATGTCAACTCAGACACGGGATCCATCGCACCTGGTGATGTCCAGAAGAGTACCAGATGAGCTCACCACTGACACGATGAGCACATTCAACGCCTCTTGCGCTTTGTTGAGCACATTATCGATGGTCTCCTCAGGCTCTGCCTGTACCTCCACAGAGTATTGGGACATTGGGCTTTGATGGGCTTTGATGGGCTTTGATGGGCTTTGATGGGCTTTGAGCCCAAGTGTTGTGCTGATCCCGAATGCTTTTTCTTGAAGTTCAAACCATATTCGAGCAACCAAAACTTGGGATCGTACCGTGACTTCCTGGCCACTGAGCAGTGCAAATTGTAGTGTCCACATTGCAGGCACGGAGAAGGGCGTACATCATACATCCCTAGATTTGCGCGTGCCAGTGGTGGACGCCAAACTCATTCGAAAATCTTCATTTTTCATGGGGAACCAATGGTTTCGGGGTACCCAATTGTGAGAGACACCCATTTTTGTTGGTCAACTTCTGCGATTTTGATCGTGTCAGCCTGTCACCAGTCCCATCCTTGAATTCTGTTGCTGTGCTTTATCCTCTGAGCCACTGAAGGCTTGGGAATGAAATGCAGCTGAGCAATGCAGAGTCATTCAAAGTGAAACCCACATGGGTTTGTCTGAAAATGGGCTGCCCGTAGAATCCTTTAGTTTAATTATATAATAATTAATATATAATTAATATATAATTAATATATAATTAATATATATTTAATATAATTTCATAAGTTTAATACTTGTCATAAAATTCCCTGAGTTGAATATCTAAATGGCCAAAGTGGGGGTAGATACCACATTTTCAGATGAAATCTCTAGGAAAGGCACCACAGGATTGACCGCAGGAGATGGAGCCAACATGGCAGGGCCTCAGCGTTGCCCGCTTTGTGTCTCCCTGCAGGGGAAAAAAACGTAAATAAATATTAAATAAATATAGAATAATATAGAAAGAAATAGAAATCATGCATGCTCTTCCACCTCAGATGCTGGGATGCTGGCTTGTTCTTCATGTACATATGGCCACCTCACACTTCCCATATTGGTCGCCACAGGTCACCACATATTCAAGCCATGTGTGAAACGACTGCTTGCTCCTGAAAGTTCTTGAATTTCCATCAGTGCGTCAACTTGCATGCGCACCCAGGCATAACCGATCCACGGGCTCATAGCACATCGGATGTTCTCCTTTCTTGAAGGATTCAGGGACTGGTCATTTGCATTATCTGTGCATAAGTCAGCATGGGAGGGGAAACTTGAACTGACAATGAATTCAGCTTCTAAGTGAACCAATACACGGGTCATCATTTCGCTGTGCTGAGTGTTTCCAGGGCTCCTTGATGGCAAGTGGCAGGGCAAACATGACCACAGTCCATCCTGAGCTATTTGGTTGGCAACAGCGTAAGTAATCCCGTAATGCCAAGTATCCTTGTCAGTGCATCACCCCTTTGTCAAACCATCTGCTTTTAGAAATTGTCTCGTTCGACTGTTTCTAACATATTCAAATATCATGTCAAAGGTGTACCACAGTAGGTAGTCAGCGCAGCAGCACGAGCTTGAGACTACGCTTCCATTCGCCGCTCTTGCCATGGTTTCCTCATGGGAGGTCCATTATTCTGAGATCCTGGCAACTGAGCACACGGCTCCTGACAGTTGGGTGCTTCCCTGCCACACGCCTCAAGCGAAAGAGAAAACCTACGTCAAAAACGTCAAACTTCTTATGCAAATCAGAACGATCTTTCGATGTTCAAGGGAAGATAGGGAAGGTTCCACTGCCACAGCACAGCTTCAATCCGGGCTCCACACTGAAGGTGGTTCAATGCTGTTCTTCCCACACGCGCAGAAGATGGGCTCATGCACTACAACTCGGCACCTACACAACCCATAGTGAGCATTAAGTCATCCAAAGAACAGGAGTCGAAGTGTTCCGACATGTTCCGACATGTTCCGACATGTTCCGACATGTTCCGACGTGATCATTGAGAACTCAGCTCTGCACGGGGGGCAGTTGCCCAAGTGACAGAACTCCTGCCATCCGATTTGCAAACGGGTTGAGTGGGCTGGGTTCCAACAGGTTTCGTCCTTTGAGAAACCTGTGTCAACCCAGTGTCCTCGCAGGTGTGGTTGCCGCAGGAAAGTGGTCGGCCACAAACTTGCAAGCAAATGTGCGCCTGAAAGTGAGTTCGTCAACGTTCACAGTTGTGACATCCACAAATCCTTTATATAATTATTTTCAATAAGGCTGTGTCCAAAAAAGTGACAAAAAATTCACATTTGATACCCCCAAAATCCGGTGAATCATGATCGTCATGATATTTCCTCTCAACTGGTCATAAAGTGGGGTCTAATGATCTAACCCATTGCTGTTTTGGTGCGAGATCCACCTCGTGATTGCGATTGTTGAAGCCCTCGCAGCACACCGTGTCGCATTTGTGATTCCTCCGCTGAAACTTTCCGTGGCCATATTGGGAGAAGTGTGAAATGTGTGAAATGCATGGAAATTCATGGAAATTCGACTTTCATCATTCAGGCTACGTACCATTCAGTCCATGCCTTTGCAACTCTGAGCTCTTCAAATTGAGCTGCTATCCACTGCACCTCTTTTTGATTCTTTTTAACTGGCAGTGGCTCCAGCCCCGGATCTTTGTCCGAGCACGAGCCAACCGGCCAATTAGAAGGAGTCTTTCTTTTTTCGAAGTGTGGCAAAAACCTCATCTGAAGCCGGCAAGGAGACTAAATAAACTCACAGTGGCTCCATGTGACTGTAGAAACGAAACGGATCTGAGTCCATTGCAAGAAGAAAGGATTCAACTTTGCAAAAAGGCAGAAGTGGCAGAGATGCTGCTGATAGAGCAAGAGAACAGACAAGAAAAAATGTGCACATATACCTGTGGGGATACAATGGTTGATCTTGAATCTCTCTGGATTTCTTCCATCAGTAGGGCCATCTTGCGATACCTCTTACCAGGTCCTACCATCTCCCCTAAGGCATTGTCCTCCACCGGACTGCAGCCAGGACAAATGCTCCTGTACGCTGCAAAGGAAACTCATTCCCAAACGCCGCTTGGAAAAGTATAGAATCCACAATCCCCAATGGCAGCTTCCTGGACTCCAAATGCATCAGAAGGCTTGCCAGTCCGAGGGAGTTTTGAAATTTCTACCATGTCTTCGCTCCACTACATTCTCATCCCTTTTCATGTACCAGTGAAACTTGAAACTGTTGCGGCCTCATTGAGTCATCTGCAGACCGGAGAAAGGGATTGATTAGCCATTCCTGTTGCTTCGCAATGAGCACAACGCCAGAATCAAATCTGGAAGTTCCAGCACTTGCCCCAGCAACTCGACACCCAGGCCCTGGAAATCTGAATTACATCGACCGTACATCCATAGTAACCGTAGTTGAACAGGAAATCATTGCAATATATTGTAATTGTGACTCATTATGTAAATCAGACACTTTGCTTTTTTACATTCCACTCCATGTCATAGCGACTACTTCCAAAGTTCGGCCGAAAGTCATTTTTCATCGTAGATGGCACTGTGAACTTCCTCTGAACCTGCCAGCTATAGTGGTTCCGAAGCATGCAAGGAAACGCATCCAGGGTTGGTTGAACACAACACCGCAGATTACAAACAGAGGGAGTAGTGGGCAACAAATGAATGTCAGCATTTCCTGTGATCCTTGGCTGCTTAAAACGTCGGACTACCTCAATCTGCAGAGCAAGTCGGATGCAGCAGTGTCCGCCTTCTGCTCTTGGGCCCAGTCCAGCATTTGCTTTAAACTTTCGTTGCTTCCATCAACAGCCACTGCAAATTGCAGATTCTTCACCTCACCAATTCATTACTTGCTGAGGACAGTTTACCAGCTGTAAAGCAATGCTCAAGTTCCAGATTACGGGCTGAGACTCTCGGCTGTGTACTCGTGCCCGACGTAGACATGAGTTTCAGGTGGCAAAGAACCCAACCTAATCCATGTGCAATATTGCAGCAAGCAAGATGACCACAGGAGTGAACACATACTGAATTTTCCAGATGTCAGATATTTCTTTGTCAAACACACCAAGACTAAGGAGAACCAAACTCTTTACTGCATTGCCTCTTGAAAAGCAACTCATGGAGTAAGCACTCAATGTCAGTCACCAAAGAATCATCAAAAACATCGGTGCTTCCTCCTTGGACTCTCACACATTCACCAGCGAGTCGTGGAACTCCTGTCAATGCAGACACCCACTGGGAACGTCTCAAAAAAGAATCAAGTTGTCTCACTCTTACATCATATCTGAATATATCTGATATGAATTGATATGAATTGATATGACATATCAGAGGATTGCAATCCCACAAAAATGCACCCTTCCCACGCTTTTGGGCAACAAGGCGTGCAGCATCACGCAGCAGTCACTATCGATGCGTTCAATTTTCCAAATATTGCCTGTGGGGGCAAACACAAAAAATTAGGCTCCACCCAATCAAAATCGGAAGGCTATGCCATTCGGAAAACAAAGAATCTAGCTGCGCATGACCTCTATGGGCATTTGTACCAAACGCTGTCAGCACCACAAAGCAAGGTCACAGAGGTCACTGAGTAACTACCTACGTTGGCATCTCGACGTGAAGGCATGGACTCCTTGGGCGTGCTCTCGAACATTCGGCCACATCCTCAGAAGCACTTGAGAGCAGGCGGAGGCGGACGAAAGGTAGTGTAGTGGGAGAGGAGTGGTGTCAAAATGCTGCGCCCCTAAGATGATACACCAAAAACGTTAACGTTTTTGCGCAGTCTAAGATGATTTTATCCAGAGCATGACTGCATGATACGGTGTCTTGTGCAGCGTGAAATGATGCACGAAAAGGGGTTTATTTAAAACCCCTTTTTAAGACCCCTTGCAGCAACTGTTATTGGGGCCCGTGACCGCGTCACCCGTGGGAATTGAACCCATGACCATTTTAGAGGGGGGGGGGGGGCCCCCCCTTATAATTGATATCCAATACATAACGGCGAGAATTCCTCGTTTTGCCCGGGCTGGCCCCCCAATACCCCCTATGCTTGTGCTGAAGCACGGAGAACTCAGGTAGCTGACGCTACCTTTCGTGAAAACTCTGTTCAACAGCAGCAAAAACAGAAAGCTCCACTGAAAAGCACAGAAGATGAATATCTATCAGGGCGTATCATGTTTGGAAAATTAAAGCATATTATGAAATCCAAAACGGCAGAACCCTCAGAGTTAACGCAGCTGACAAATCAAATCGAGCAAATTGCATAGAATTGCCTCCCCTGTCTTGTTTAACAAGAGAACTGGAAAAAAAATGCTTGAAATTTTGAAAACTGAGAAGGGAGGTAGACATGTTCATATTAGGAAGCGATGAAGGCAAAAATCGATTAAACGGCAGCGTTAAAGCAATATGTCAAGAGAAATCGGTATAAGTAGTCATGTCTTGCATTGAGAGGCCAAAGGCCAAAACTGAGTAGGATTGTCTTGCGTGACCGTGTAGGAATGAAATATCTGCAGTCGCTAGAGAGCTCCAGTTTGAGGCGCTCTTGTGCTTCATCTTAATGCGCCAAACCATAAGACACAAAATTGTCCAGGTCATAACTAAACTGACATCAGTCCATGGGCAATCAAAAAATATGAATGGACAAAGTGAAAGTGATGTATGTGGACTCTAGAACTTATCTGGCAACGCAGATAGTGAATGACGCTGATATTCTATTTGATACATTTGTATACATTTGTGACAGACACGAAGCATCACGAAGCTTAGTTTATTCCGCGCATTGTCTTTGCTTAGTTCCCAGACTCGACTCTCAGAATCAACACCCTTTGCCCAAAAGAATGCAACCCTTCTATCGCAAGTCCGAGATATGGGATTCAGCGTCTGGCCGGCCACAAAAAGAGTGTCACCGGTGAAGACTGAACCCTGCAACAGGAAGCCAAGACTTTGGACCAAATGGAATGTCAAACTGACCGTGTTTGGATCCATTTCAAGCAGCAAGAAGGCTTGTTCATCTGACTAAAGATCACAAGTTGCAGCTTGTCTTCACTGATCCATATGAACAAAGAAGGCAAAAGAAGCCGAAGAGGCAAAAGACGCAGGTGCAGGAGCACCTCCTTCTCCTTGCCAGGCTCGCTGCAAAAGTAGCAGATGGAGCCGCGTGTGTGGCCAGGCGTGTGCAGGGCCAATACCTTCAGGGGATGGTAAGCTGTGGATGAAGAGAAGAGTTGCAAGGAGCACAATTTAGAGAGAGAGAGAGACACAAAAAGCAAAGCAGAAATCTGGGATGAACTCATGAATCATTGTGTCTTTGAGTAGAGGCTTAGGCAGAACATGGCAACATCTTGATGTTGGTAAGCACATGTTCAAGACTTTGAAACGTACAAGAACAGAGTTTTCCTGATCTGCAAGCCCCCTTGCCCCATCTCGCACCAACCCGCCTCAATCGAACCAATATTGAACTTGTTCCCATGATCCTTCAGCTACCAGAAGTCAAGACATGAGCTTAGTGTAGCGACAATCTCAATCTTCTGTGAGTCGAACAAGCTGCCAAACAACAAAATAAATAAATCTTTGTAGAGGAGGAACAGTAGATGGACAAAAAAATCAAACCCTACAAACGCCTATCAAGTAAAACCCCAGGCCCCAAATTTCAATGTTGCACAAAGCTCATCAAAGCTCTATATAGCTTCCTCTGCGTTGGGGTTTGATTTATTTGTCCACCGGCCCAAAGCGCGCAGCCCAAAGGCAAGATTGAAATTTGGGGATGCGGGGGCGACAACAATACAGCAGGGGTTTGATGTCATCGTCCATCTACGGAAGGACTGAACAATGGCTCTCAAACCATTCAGGACCCTCTGCTACTTTCTTCAGAACTGCCTTTCCCAGCAGGGGTCATTTAAAGTGCCATCACACAGCTGTCCAGAAAATCTGTGCAGGCCGCCACATTGTCAATACGCCCGCCGTAGACTTTGATGCCCGGCACCTGCATCGAAGCATCACTGCTGCGTGGTTTCAATCCATTCCAAAAAGGTGGAAACAATGGGGTCCCCACTATATCCACTATATTCGCTATATCCACTAGGGGTGAAAAAATATGTGAACTTTTAGAAGTCACCACTATATTGACATACTTAATTGGAGTTTGAGCGCTGGCCTGCTTCACCATCTCTGCGTTGCCTCCAGCATGGTCGTAGTGATGGTGGGTTGTAAGGACCTCAGGAAAGGTATCAACACTCATCAAGCAACTTATCACAACTCGGATCAATCAAACTTTCACCAGAACAGCAGTAGTTTAAAGTGCAAACAAACAGAGTGCTGGACAACAAACCGCTTTGCAGTTGAGACATTGACTGCCACAATATCTACCTTTTCTTCCTTAGCCTTGGCCAAGACCAAATGCGCCTCGCATCCAGTGCATGTCACATTGATGGGATGAAATGTGTGAACGGCAAAACGAATCAATGGGATATTCTGATATTCGTGGATATTGGGTCAAAATGTGCGCTCTTCCATGCAGAACCGCGGTGTTGGTTGCTTTTCATCTGCATTCACAAAGTTGAACTGGCCTCCGCTGGGTCAACACAAGCTGCAATCCTCTTCTCGTCATCTATCAAGAGATATCTCAGGGGCAAAGTGCTCGTGAGTGCAACAGCGGCAGTCTCAGCTGAGAGTCCTGAAATAGCCCGGTTCGTAATATCGACTTTGATGTGAGCTACAGGTTCTTGCAGCAAAGACATACTAGCCCATCAGTTAGAGGGGGATGGGGGAGACTTTGAGTTGCCAAGATCAGCAATGCAGCCGCGTACAAACTAAGAGCAGAACGCGTAGTTGTCGGAAAGGACTGGCACAACAACTACCCTCATTAGGGAGACTTTGCTCCACACCTAGAATTGTAGTACGACATAGCCAGGCGGTCCGAACCGGCACCCCTCTTGAGCACCGAAAGATTGACAGAGGTGAGAAAAAGTGGCTTGTTTCCAGTTCGCCTGGACCAGTCCTCTTTATAGACTCGCTTCGTAAGATCTTGCACTGACCAAAAACAAGGCACATTAATGACATTAATGACATTGAGTTCATCATAGTTCATCGCTATTCCATGCCAGTTCCATTCAGAATTTTCACCCGACCCTCGGAACCATCCCAGTCGGTCCCGCAGGTCTTCTTCGTGCGACAGACTTGATGGCATGTTACGTCACCAACTGCAGGGCGTACTCGAACACTTGCAGATCATCGGTCTGACCCTAATCTTAAAATATCTATAAGTCTAAAGATATGGGTATGGATCAATACCTATTAATACCATTTTTAGGGGAATGAACATCCATTTACCAGCTATTTTGATGTTCACCAGGGGTACAAGGTTTTGACACACTGCCATATCTTAAATCATCTTAAACTACATGCTCCGGAGCCTGCTCCCCATGTTTCTCAGCACAAGAATGTGGCATCTGTGGGAGGAGAGATGCGAAGGCATTTTTAGAAGTTGAGACATAGAACGAAAGATGCCAGGACCGCAAGCAATGACTGTCTGCAGAAGCCTATTGCAAATCATGACACAGCAAGGGATATATCAATACACAAAGATACATAAAGATTATATATATATAATAAAGAATGAGGTCTCAAGAGATGGAAAACCAAACAAGTTCCCACGTCTTGGATGTTACCATTGCATGTGGCACCTTCGGAACAAACAACCTCTCGGCGAGTACGCGAACATCTGCACTCTCGCTGGACCTAGCAACCATTGCAAATGGATCAATCTTGCCAAGTGTGAAATGTTAGCACCTGAAACAAACTGTTCACTGAGCTTTCAAAGTTGCCATCACTAACAAAACATGGTAAACCTAAGCTCTTCACCTTGGCCTCACACTGGCCACAGGAGCCTTCATGACAATTCTTCTCACACAGGTGAGAACAGCCTCGGCCGAGACACGACTTGAAGATTTGGAAGATGCTGCATCCACAGAGCCACAGTTTTGCTCTCCAAAGCTGGTGAGTGTTCCAGATGTGCAACGCAGCACTCAGAACTGGGCGTTCATGTCTCTTCATGCAAAGCTGGTTGCACAGAGCCAGCGGTTGAGAACACCTGGCATTGTGGATCTCCAACAACATTTGCTGCGCAAATGCCTTCTTTCAAGCTGGCTGGAGTCAGATCTTTACATCAATCCGAACTACCAGTGCTACCTGAATACTTCAGAAACATTGGGCCATCCTTCTCTGCCAAGATCTCTTGACCAAACCAGATGCTATGCTGTAATCTGCCTTGACTTGTCAAAGAAGTCTATGCACGGATGCACAGCGCACTTCTTTTCTATAGCGAGATTTAATGAGTGCACATTTGGTGTGCGTTTTTTCTGCACAACTGCACAGCCAATGTGTTTGGACCTTTTTGCACATAGGGCGGCTAGAACCCGCTCAAGCAGCACCCTTGTCACCCTCCTCAGGGTCGCCACCAGGAATCATCCTAAGCTGTCCAAATCTCATGGGCTTTAACTAGGATTGAGGTTTGCTTTAACTTTCTTTGAGGATTGATCTTCAAAACCTTCAAAACTAGAAACAAGCTGCAAAGGCTTGCTGCACTTGCCAGCCAAGCAGCATGGTGATGTTGTTGCCATTCAGCAATATCCTGCCGTACACTTTCCAGAAAACAATGCAGAGGGACGTTCCCGAAAGGATAATTGATGGATAGTCACGGATAGTCTGATCTGAATCTTGGGAATTTACACCCTGTAGACCCTTTCGAGAGCATGTGGTGGACAGGGCAGCAGGTGTTCTTGCAAAGCCTGAGCTTGATTTTGCGGGATAGCTTTTGGTGAAACATTGAGTCTATTGAAGCCCTGGTACATCACTTTAGAGCTGTGTTTTCGCATCCTTTGTCTTTGACTTTGAGGCAATATCAACACCATTGCACATGTCGCTGCTTTCCGCACAATTTGGATCAAATGCACAAGAGACCTCAAACACACACTAGACTCTCTCACAGAAGGATAGAAGGTTACCATTCTTCGTCAGGAGCTGCAGTAAATGTGGAAAATCAGTCTGAGGGCCACAAGGGTTGGGATTTGAAAGTGTCTCCATTGTGAAGATGTTGAGTATCGGCGACAATGCTGCAACACATGCCAGTCGATCGATTCCAAATGTGTGATCTTCTTCCCCTGCGGGGTGAAGGTATACTCTCGAACATCCTCAATTTCACACCATCGAGCTGGGTCCTTCAGATTGAACACTCTCACAATACAAATGATGCAAAGGGCAAAGTGAAGTCATGACTTCGGACCAAAGTGAAGCAAAACCTCTCTGTTAACTTTGCACGTCTCCATGTTCTGTGTACACAATATGCAGTATCAACCTCTCATAGTGGACAACCAGCACCACTTCACGGACAAGACTTAGCTCACTCAGCTCATCGCATCCATGACCATGTTCACATAGTCATCAAAACCGCGCAAGGTTCCCACTATCTCTTTATCACCTTTCATGATGACCTTGAGTGGTAAAATGTGCCATTTGCTCAAATCTGACAGAAATCAAGACTTTCGCTGGAAACAGAGGATTAATAGTGTATTGTTCATTTATGATAAAAACATATAATGACTGCTCCAATGCAAGATTCCCAGTGCACTCAGCACAAAGTCTGATTCTGTGCTTTCTCTACTGAGGCAGAATCCCAAATCCGCGAACCAATGCACTTGTCAATGAGGGCCTTAGCAGAAGCGCAGTGGGTATCCAAGATTCAGACTGATCAAGCAGTTTTTCTTGTTAAAGTCAACTCTAAGTGGCATCCTACGCAAACATAACAAAATCTTGGATGAGCAGAGTCAGGATTTCAGGGGATTTGAGGATCCAATATATATATATCTAATATATCTACAGTAAACTGCCAGATCCCCTGAGAACCCCAGCCAATGGCAGATATGATGGTGCTGCGGAGATGGAGGCCATGGCCACACCCCTCACGTTGAGCGAGGTGGAGACCAAGGGGGGAAGGAACGGAAGGAGATGGTTGGGACATGTTGGGACACTCTCCTGTTGTACTGCATGTTGTACCTGAGTCTCTTCCTGAACCCGTCAAAATCTGCACAAACAGCTCAAGTCCGTAGAACTCTCTGCCATCTGCCATCAAAATCGCCCACAGAAGTACTGGCCCTAGGCCAAGCTGAGACAAGCACCTGCCCGGCAGAGGGCCGCACGCACTCCCGTTCTTGCTGAGCCAGAAGACGAACAGACACCATTGGAGAGAGAAGTGATCACACTCAAGATGCAGATATCAGGCTGGCATGGAGATCTTTTGGTTGTGCCAAGTGCACATTCATGCGCAGTGTAAAGCAGGCTCGGGCAAGGCACCTCTTGCGAACGCCAACCTAGGTCGTCGATCAAGGTAGAATGACGAAGTCTGCAAATTCGTAGGAGAGACTGTCTGGCATTTGGAAAGATAACTTTCTGATTTGTCAAGTTGTTCTCAAGGGAGCGGGCAAAGCGACGCAAACGAGCGCGGGCTGACTCGTGACTGCAGTTGTAGGTCCTAGTGCAAGGCATGAAAATTCTACTGGCCAAGAAAAAAATATGCAGTGCAGCCGTTGTCATCAAATTGTCCATGTAGAAATGATTAGAAATGATTAGAAATGATTAGAAATGATTAGAAATGATTAGAAATGATTAGAAATGATTAGAAATGATTAGAAATGATTAGAAATGATTAGAAATGTAGGGACCAGGCTTGCCACAAGCACAACCTGAGCAAATCAGCGCCATCTCATGGCGGCTCACAGCTCACAGCTCGCGCCGCTGAGCGCCGCTGAGCGCCGCTGAGCGCCCTTACGGTCACCCCATCTCACGGGATCGCGGAGGCACCTCAGAGAGTTGGGACAGCACAATCGGCACAACATGGCACAACTCACTCCAAAAAATGATCCAAAAAGATGATTCAACGAGTTTGTTCAGCTTTTCAAAAAAAAATCTCTGACAACAAAATGCTTCCAAATGATAAACTGGGGGTCTTCAACTTTCTTCAACTTTGACCCACAAGCAGCGAAGCCACGTGCCGCAGTCACCAGGGTGGCACTCTCGTTCACAGAAATGCTCCTGGGGCTGCCAGGCTTTTCTGCACTGAGCTGGAACCTAGCGACATATATATATATATACATACATACATACATATACATATACATATACATATACATATACATATACATATACATATACATATACATATACATATACATATACATATACATATACATATATATATACATATACATATTTGTATATACTGTATATATGGATACATGTGTGTATATATATATATACATATACACATACACAGTAATCACAGATATCATATATTATAAATATCAATATAGATTATATTTAGATTTTCTCACCTGGAAAAGCATGGAGAAAGTGACAGTGCCATGTTCATCAGGTGAATTGCCGGCACAAAGCCCTCTGTTTCTTTGAAGAGTTCAGTCTCTAAATATTTCTAAGGGTTGCCAAGTAGCAGGCATCACCGGGCCTGTAGCGGTGATACGTGACACCAGCTGCACCAGCATATGACACCCGCTACTGCGTGTCTGTGTTCGTGCAATCCTAATGAATTGAACACCGTCGCCGCACGTCCAGTTCTCTGGACACACAGACCGGATGCCAAAAGTGAAGAGCAATCACCTGCATGGCAATCGCCCTGGGGAAAATCAGGTTTCAACTTTGGAAGTTTCAACCTATTCCAACATGCTGCGCCCTCCTGTGTAGTCTCCTGTAGCACTTGTAGCTTCAGGCAAAGGCCCAACTTCAAAACTTGGCCCTAGGCCGTCTTTCAAACCGACTCGCAAAGATTATGCCAAACCATCTGGGAACAAGTCATCAAGGCCTCAGAAGATTTTGTTCCAGGCAGCTGAAGAGTTGCACGTCACGAAACCTTCTTCTTCATCTTTTAGTATGCAAAATACACGGGCGCCACCACTGACGCATCACATGATCAAACAAAAAACCTCAAAAACCTCAAAAAACAATATCTCATGACATTGGGAGAGTCACAACAGTTGAGGATACTGTTATACCGAGTTATACCTGCAAATGTGAAAAGAACCGGGACCCTGGAAGCGCCTCTCAGCAACACATTTTTAATTGCCTAGGCGCCTGGGTCATTCTCCACTTCCTGTTCCGCCTCTGCGGTTTCGCTGGGGTCCTCCTGCATCAGTCAGATGGAGGATGGTTGCTAATGCACTTGATGAAGTGCCATGAAGTTCCATGAAGCGCCCGAATCTGCGCAACAGGTCCTTTACTATATATATATATACATATTTACATTACATTACATTACATTGCATTGCATTGCATTGCATTGCATTGCATTACATTACCATACATACATACATACATACATACATACATACATACATACATTAATTACATACATACATTAATTACATACATACATTAATTACATACATACATTAATTACATACATACATTACATACATACATTACATACATTAATTACATACATACATTAATTACATACATACATACATACATACATACATTAATTACATACATACATACATTAATTACATACATACATAATTACATACATACATTAATTACATACATACATTAATTACACATTAATTACATACATCATTAATTACATACATACATTACATATACATACATTACATACATACATACATACATTACATTACATACATTACATTACATTACATTACATACATACATACATTACATTACATTACATACATTACATTACATTACATACATACATACACATACATACACATACCATACATACATACATTAATTGCATACATACATTATTACATACATACATTAACTACATTCATACATTAATTACATACATACATTAATTACATACATACATTAATTACATACATACATTAATTACATACATACATTAATTATATACATACATTTCATTACATTACATACATTAACTACATTCATACATTAATTACATACGTACATTAATTACATACATACATACATACATGCATACATACATACATACATACATACACGGGTTTTGATCAAAATTCCTTTATCCGGGAACGGTCATTCTTCGCGAATAAAAATTTTACTTTCGCGAAACTTTCGCGAACTCCATGTTTATCTTTCGCGGGGCCCATGTTGGCCAACAACACCTCTTATGAAGATTCGTTCACCACCTGCCAAATTACGCCAGGGAATCACGGATCACTTCTTGATAGCCTTTTAAACATGCAGCTAGCATCACGGAATCCCTTCTCAGGGCAGATTGTTGCTGACTATTGTTTTTGTCAAGGTTTACTGACCCACCCCCTTCAACATGCACTTTGACTTTCGCCCGCTCTTTCGCATAACTTTCGCGGAACTTTCGCGAAAATATCCCTATTCACAGAGTGAACTGAAGGAAAAGCGAACACCAGGGGCCTTGGTGTTTGGCCCTCGCAAAGCCTCACTTTTGGAAACTTGGCTGCTGCATTTGGAGCTTGTTTCTTGAGACTTCAAAAAGCATCATTAGGCAGCGACAGCGGCAGGTGCAGGTCCATGGCGTTTGGCTGTCGCGAAGCCTCGCTTTTGGAAGCTCGGCTGCTACCTATGAAGGGTGTGATTGTCCGCAAGCACCACCACACAGGGAACTGAACCAGAACCAAACCGAAATTCTCTAGTGCCCTTCTCCTGCCGGACCCCGGGCGGCAGAGGGTGGCAGCCCTTGACATAATGATTATAATATCCAACTTTCGCGAAACTTTCGCGAAAAAAATGTTACTTTCGCGAAAAAAAAACTTTCGCGAGGGTTTCCAACAAAACATGCACGGCTTTCGCAATTAAAATTCCTTACAAGGACCTTTAGATCGATCACCACAAACATACATACATACATACATACATACATAAATACAAACTACATACATACATACATACATACATAAATACATACATACATACATAAATACATACATACATACATACATTAATTACATACATACATTAAATACATACATACATTAATTACATACATACATTACATTACATACATACATTACATTACATTCATACATTAATTACATACATACATTAATTACATACATACATACATACATACATTAATTACATACATTACATTACATACATTACATACATTAATTACATACATACATACATACATTACATACATTACATACATTACATACATTACATACATACATACATTACATACATACATACATTACACACATACATTACACACATACATTACACACATACATTACACACATACATTACACACATACATTACACACATACATTACACACATACATTACACACATACATTACACACGTACATTACACACATACATTACACACATACATTACACACATACATTACACACATACATTACACACATACATTACACACATACATTACACACATACATTACACACATACATTACACACATAGATTACACACATACATTACACACATACATTACATACATACATTGCATACATAACATACATAACATACATAACATACATTACATATATTACATTACAGTACATTATATTGCATTACATTACGTTACATCACATGACATCACATTACATTACATTACATTAAATTACATTACATACATTACATTACATTGCATTACATTACACTACATTACATTACATTACATTACTTGCATTACATTACATTACATTACATTACATTGCATTACATTACACTACATTACATTACATTACATTACAATACATACATACATACATACATTACGTACCTACATACCATACCATACCATACCATACCATACCATACCATACCATACCATACCATACCATACATACCATACATACATTACATTACATTACATTACACTACATTACATTACATTACATACATTACATACATTACATACATTACATACATTACATACATTACATTACATACATTACATACATACATTGCATACATTACATACATACATTACATACATTACATACATTACATACATACATACATACACACATTGCATACATACAGTACATACATACATTACATACATTGCATATATTACATACATTACATATATTACATTACAGTACATTATATTGCATTACATTACGTTACATCACATGACATCACATCACATTACATTACATTACATTAAATTACATTACATACATTACATTACATTGCATTACATTACACTACATTACATTACATTACTTGCATTACATTACATTACATTACATTGCATTACATTACACTACATTACATTACATTACATTACAATACATACATACATACATACATTACGTACCTACATACCATACCATACCATACCATACCATACCATACCATACCATACCATACCATACATACCATACATACATTACATTACATTACATTACATTACACTACATTACATTACATTACATACATTACATTACATACATTACATACATACATTGCATACATTACATACATACATTACATACATTACATACATTACATACATTACATACATACATACATACACACATACATACATTATATACATACATACATACATACATACATACATCCATACATACATACATTCATACATACATACATACATTACATACATTACATACATTACATACATACATTACATACATACATTACATACATACATTGCATACATTACATACATACATTACATACATTACATACATTACATACATACATACATACATACACACATTGCATACATACAGTACATACATACATTACATACATTGCATATATTACATACATTACATATATTACATTACAGTACATTATATTGCATTACATTACGTTACATCACATGACATCACATCACATTACATTACATTACATTAAATTACATTACATACATTACATTACATTGCATTACATTACACTACATTACATTACATTACTTGCATTACATTACATTACATTACATTACATTACATTACATACATACATACATCAATACATTACATACATACATACATACATCCATACATACATACATTCATACATACATACATACATTACATACATTACATACATTACATACATTACATACATTACATACATTACATTACATACATTACATACATACATTGCATACATTACATACATACATTACATACATTACATACATTACATACATTACATACATACATACATACACACATACATACATTAATTACATACATTACATACATACATACATACATACATACATACATGCATACATACATACATACATACACACACAGACATACATACATACATACATACACACACAGACATACAGACATACATACATACATACATACATTTATACATACATACATACACACATACATACATACACACATACATACATACATACATACATACATACATACATACATACATACATACATTACATACATTACATACATTTATACATACATACATACATACATACACACACATACATACATACATACATACATACATACATACATACATACATACATACATACATACATACATACATACATACATTACATACAAAACATACATTACATACATTACATACATACCTTAGATACAATACATACATACATTACATACATACAATACATACATACATTACATACATTACATTACATTACGTTACGTTACATTACATTACATTTCATCTCATTACATTACATTACATTACATACATACATACACACAGACACACAGACACACAGACACACAGACACACAGACACACAGACACACAGACACACAGACACACAGACACACAGACACACAGACAGACAGACAGACAGACATACATAAATAGATTTAAGATGGTTCTGTTCGATTCTTCTTGGCATTGCACAGCGACGGTACTACAGATGCAGACCAACCCTCTTCCCATGTCTTCGCCCCTCCGCTTCGAGTCGTTGATCAGAGTCAGGATGATAAGGGCGGCTTGGATCATACTTGGTTCCATCAGAATACCTGGATCTTGGAGCACGACATGCAAAACGTTTCGAACTTTCAATCCATTGAAAACAAATAGAGAAGATTTGCCAAAAGGAGCGTCATTCCCAACATAGCACACTAGAAAACATTCTCAGGAACCTTCCAAACACAACCCACCCCCACCCAAATAATGAAGTGCAAACCTGCCCACTATCTTATGCACGGCTTGACCCAAAGCTGGACAAGGCTTCAGACAAGGTGCGTGATGTTCCCAACTGGGCACCAAGCACCTTTGCAGTTTGTGCCTCACAGCAAGCCAGCTACTCTTCCAAAAAACCTTGACAAGAAGACACTTTTGCTGCTTCTACGGGTACCTCTTGGAGGATCAGGTTGCATTCAATGAAGTGGTAGAGCAGAAACGGGAATGTGTGACAAGTTGTGCCAGCGACATTTGGAGGACTACCAGCAAACAGAAATTGCATTTTATGCTAGTGCGGTTCTCGACACTCTCCACCCCGTTGAAATAACTTTCATGTATCGCATCTGAGGTTGCCGCACTGCTTCTCGTTGAGTGAGCAGAAGTCATCTGTCAAGCAAGCAGCAGTGAGCAGAAGCGCAACATTGGATTTCATTGCCGCGGATTGCAAATGTGGCCGGAACTCCATAGACTCTATAAACATTTTCACGTTCATAAGTTGGCCCATCCGTTTTTCTGTACCATGGCACTCACTCGCACATCTGTCTGTGTATCTACACGTTTTTTTGGCAAAAGTTTGGTTGTCATGTCATTCACTTCTGATGGCCTTGTTTTGCAATGCCCGTCATTGGAAATGCAGAATTGCACGGATTGTTCTTGTCCGCAAAGGCCTTCACACACCTGTCCCACCATCAAAGTTGGCCAGCGACGTTTGCATGTGGAAAAAAACATACTGTTTCACGTCGAGTTTCACCACACAAAATAAAATAAAGAATCTGCCCTTTGTGTCCTCCACAACTCTTATCTGGACACATAAACAAGTCACAGGTCTTGACCGATCATACACCACCAAAGTTGCCGCTTCTAAAATATTGGGATTGCTTTTCCAGGTCACATCTGAAGGCTTTGGAAAGTCGCCATCAGAATATGATGATTCGCCTGTGGGGCTTAGCATGCCCCATTTTGGACAAACCTGTGTTCATTGATTGGGTCATCATCCAGCTGGTTGGGAGAAAGAAAACATCAGAAAACCGTGTGATTTGCACTTTGCTTTGCAAAGTCTTCAGTCTACTGCAAACATCTATATGAGATAGATAGATAGATAGGTAGGTAGATAGATAGCTAGATAGCTAGATAGCTAGATAGCTAGATAGCTAGATAGCTAGATAGCTAGATAGCTAGATAGCTAGATAGCTAGATAGATTACATAGATTAGATAGATTAGATAGATTAGATAGATTAGATAGATTAGATAGATTAGATAGATTAGATAGATTAGATAGATTAGATAGATTAGATTAGATTAGATAGATTAGGTTAGATTAGGTTAGATTAGGTTAGATTAGGTTAGATTAGATTAGATTAGGTTAGATTAGATTAGATTAGGTTAGATTAGATTAGGTTAGATTAGATAGATTAGATAGATTAGATAGATTAGATAGATTAGATAGATTAGATAGATTAGATAGATTAGATAGATTAGATTAGATTAGGTTAGATTAGGTTAGATTAGATTAGATTAGGTTAGATTAGATTAGATTAGGTTAGATTAGATTAGATTAGGTAAATTAGATAGATTAGATAGATTAGATAGATAGATAGATAGATAGATAGATTAGATAGATTAGATAGATAGATTAGATAGATTAGATAGATAGATTAGATAGATTAAATAGATTAGATAGATTAGATAGATAAGATAGATAAGATAGATAAGATAGATAAGATAGATAAGATAGATAAGATAGATAAGATAGATAGATAGATAGATAGATAGGTAGATAGATAGATAGATAGATTAGATAGATAGATAGATTAGATAGATAGATTAGATAGATAGATTATATAGATTAGATACATACATACATACAAACATACATACATACATACATAGATTAGATAGATAGATCGATCGATCGATCGATGGATGGATGGATGGATAGATAGATAGGTAGATAGGTAGATAGATAGATAGATAGGTAGATAGATAGATAGGAAGATAGAGTCATAGATAGATAGATAGATAGATGGATGGATAGATAGATAGATAGATTAGATAGATAGATTAGAGAGATAGATTAGAGAGATAGATTAGATAGATAGATTAGATAGATAGATTAGATAGATAGATTAGAGAGATAGATTAGAGAGATAGATTAGATAGATAGATAGATAGATAGATAGATAGGTAGATAGATAGATAGATAGATAGAAAGATAGATAGATAGATAGGTAGATAGATTAGATAGATAGATTAGACGGATAGATTAGAGAGATAGATAGATAGATAGATAGATTAGATATGTAGATTAGATAGATTAGATAGATTAGATAGATAGATAGATAGATCGATAGATAGATAGATAGGTAGGTAGGTAGATAGATTAGATAGATTAGATAGATTAGATAGATTAGATAGATTAGATAGATTAGATAGATAGATAGATAGATAGATAGATAGAAAGATAGATAGATAGATAGGTAGATAGATAGATTAGATAGATAGATTAGACGGATAGATTAGAGAGATAGATAGATAGATTAGATATGTAGATTAGATAGATTAGATAGATAGATTAGATAGATTAGATAGATTAGATAGATAGATAGATAGATAGATAGATGGGTAGATAGATAGATAGATAGATCAGATAGATTAGATTGGTCAGATAGAGTAGATAGATAAGAAAGAAAGAAAGAAAGAAAGAAAGATAGATAGATAGATAGACAGCTAGATAGACAGCTAGATAGATACATAGATAGATAGATAGATTGATAGGTAGGTAGGTAGGTAGACAGATAGTTAGATAGATAGAGAGATAGACAGATAGACAGATAGATAGACAAATAGACAGATAAATATATACATAGATGGATAGATGATAGATAAATAGATAGATACATAGATACATAGACAGGTAGATAGATAGATAGATCGATCGATAGATAGATAGATAGATTGATTGATTGATAGAGAGATAGGTAGAGAGAAAGAGCGATAGATGGATACATAAATAGATAGGTAGAGGGATCGATAGATAAATAGATAAACAGACAGACAGACAGACAGATAGACAGATAAATCGATAGACAGATAAATCGATAGACAGATAAATCGATAGATCGATAGATCGATCGATCGATAGATAGATAGATAGATAGAAAGAGAGATAGATAGATAGACAGATAGATAGATAGATAGATAGGTAGATAGATAGACAGACAGACAATCAGAAAGAGAGGGATAGGACAGGATAGGATAAGATAAGAAAAGATAAAATAAGATAAGATAAGATAGATAGAAAAATAAAATAAATATGAATGAACTAGATGTGGGTGAAGTTCACCAGAAAAATGGATGCCAATCACTCCGTGACAGCCGTGACAGCCGTGACAGCTTCCCATCCACCTGGGTCCAGGGCACCAGGTGCCACCACAACCTGCGCAGCGGCTCTTGACAGAGCAGGTGGAATCTTTGGCCACGTCCATGCAGGCACCGCACCTGACAGCCAAGCCCGGAAGCAAGGTGGAACAACTGGTTCTTCCCATCAAATGATGCAGCTATGTGTATCTAAGATTCTATTTGTCTGGAAATATGTATATATATAAGCAATGGTATTGTGAATGGATATGGGTGGATGTTCATGTTACATATACAATATATATATATGTATATATATATTTATATATGTATATATATAAGCAATGCGCCCTTCTGCCTATTTTCACTGCTGTGCAAACACGTTGTGCTGCTGCCTTCATCCCTTCCTATCCCAGCTCACTTGCTGTCATCTGTTTGGTAGGGTTGATACTTGAGCCGGTATGGCTCCATGCAAGAAAGCTAAGGCCTTCTTGAGGATGAAAGGGAAAGCTCCTGCAAGCCTTTCGATCCTTTCTCTGGTCACCCGGGGCAGTTTCTGCGTGTACGTGGTGTAAAGCACCTCCTGTAGGTATAATTCAATCACCTTGGTTGTCACCCAGCGCCCACGACGCCTGACCAGTCCACTGTCTTCTGTGAGGAACAACATGTATGTGGCGCCGCCCGGGCGCAACGAGCCCAGGTCAAAGGGCCGCAAGTCGTCCTTTTTTACAGTATCCAGTCCAAGCGCAGCTTACTAACAGGGCTGACATCCTTTTGCGCAGGGTCGCCGCCGAGTAAGGCCAGAGTTTCTGGGGCTTCTCAAACCCACCGTAAACAGCTGCCAGGAGTGCCACAACGTCAGGTGGGTCAACTCTGGCCGCCTGATGGCGGGCGGCTCGCCCTCTGGTTTTTGGGTACTTGATCTTCAAGATCGCGAAGCTAGTCCCTGGTGCCGTGTCCTCCGGTAGGACCAAGTCTGCTCCGTCAGCCATCAGGACTTCTCCAATCCGCAAAATGCCAGCCCATGCTAGCCCCAGCACCGATGCCTCCAAAGGCCAGCCCCACATTGGAGCTGTTGCCATCAGCGCCAAAAGAACGGACAGTGGCAGAGCAGGATGGTGCTGAAAAGGTTCATCTGCCAACCAAGACATTGCTAGGTCCCATGCTGACACAAGCTGCTTCCATAGTATAGGCCCCTCTTCTGCATCCGGCGGCTTCTCCGATAACAGCTCTTGCAACACCACCCCATGGGTCTGATACCGCCATGTTCGACAATTCCGCTAAAGAGCCGCCCGTTGATCCAGAGCCTTGTGGCGGGCAAGCCTTGTGGGAATTGGGCAAACACCGCCCCGAAGCGCAGCACGTTCTCGCTCTTGTGCGGTGAGCCAAATTGACATGAAGCAACCACACTCTCGCGGAATCCAAGCTCTATCAAGGCAGCCCATGCCCTCAACCATGCCATCTTGCTCAGACGATGCTGCTCTTTCCCGCAGGGCTTCTCACATGTCATATCAAACCCCGCAGACTTTGAGTATGATCTGACCGCTGGATGGGCCGCGGGACTGAAGGTGGTACAAGGTGGCTCCGAAAGGAAACTTCTGCCCATTTCGGGGAAAACCAAATGGGCCAAGATATACAAGGTCCATTTGGTTCAGTGGCTTCAGGTGGCTGTGGCTGGTCCACATTAGTGGCGCGCTTGCCCCTGCACATCTCAATCCAACCACAGCCCGCGACTTGGTGGCAGAAGGTTTTTTTGATCCCCCATGTATATTACCCAGCAAAGCACGATCCTCACAAGATCGGTGGTGGCATTCAAGGAGCGGTGCATCCGCCATGTTGCACTGCCGTGATGCTGCCAGATCGAGAAGGGGCACCACAGAATGCCCTAAATCAAACATACATCTTGAGACCCTTCCAGGGCCACCATAGAACTCAACAAAATCAAAGTATAGCAAAGGCCCCCTTGATGGAGCATCAGTAGGTCAGCAGGCCCATCTGAGCAGCAGAGGCTCTCATGCACCTCATCCCCTGCTGCAGCCAAAAGGGACAATGCTGGGCCGTCAAAGTTGAGTGTAACACCCTCTCTTGTCACTGCCACGCCAAAGTGCTCTTGCCACTTTTTCAGAGGTCTCTGAGGGCACAACCGCACCAAGACCCAGAGAAGCATCAGAGGCGTAGATCTTCCGGTTGTACTTCACTGCAATGTTTGATACCATGACAGGGACCAGAGCAGCAAGCATGCAGAGTTCAGTGGCCGTGGTTCTGGCGAGTGGCGTAGCTGTGGTCTCGCCAGATACCTCCGCAAATGCAGCCTCATGAAACATGACATCAACGACAGCAGCTAAGCACCTCCTGTAGAGGAGTACAGAAATTCCGTGCCATTCTTGACAAGAGCTTTCCTGAAATCACAGGAAGGCAGGCGGCCCTGAAAGTCAAAGTCGACAGGTCAACCCGCTTTGCCAATATATAGCTCCAACGGTGGTGATGCCTCGCTTGACAGCGTAGTCAGATGAATCAACCTCTGCACCGGCTGCCTTGAACATTCTGTGCTTCGACATCCTTCTCTGGTGATCCAAGGATGCCACATTGGTCATAAATGCGTCTGGCTCGAGCAAGCGCCTGTCCAGCAAAGGAGTTCAAAGGCATTGTTCCAGTGGGCTGTGCTGATGACAAAGTAGTCATCAATGATGGGACCTTCCCATCTGATCTGGTGGCTGTTGGAACAGGGCATGACCTTTGATGCACTGTTCTGGAACTAGAAGTCCATGTCGTTCCAGGAGATCTTCATGGGCCTGTAGAGCAAACTCAACCCCCAAATGGTCACCTTGGAAAGTGATCCAAAACAGGCATAGCAACCAGCTTCAGGGCTGTGGGAGGCCACAAGTCCAGCAGCCGGTAGTCCAAATCCATCACCCACATGAGCCCTGGATGCCTTGCGGCTCTTCTTACCAAGGTGCAACTCAATGGCTTTGCTGGTAGCCTCAAGGCCTTGCAGCTCTTCAAATTTGTAGTGAACAGGCAGCATGTTGGAGCATGCCCGTTCATAGGTGACCGCCGCCCAGTGATAAAAATCACAACGGTCTGCGACGCTGCCATACAGCTGCTCAATGTAAGCACGCCACGGGGCAGACGTCTCGAGGGCCCATCAACAGATCTCTCCTTTGCATGTGGCAAGCGCCTGTCACCAATCTGCCTCTCATGGAGCTCATTCTTGTGCGCGTTGAACACCCGGCAAAAATGCCCTTCATCCAGAGGTTTGGGGTGCCAATTGCAAAAGGCCCCTTGAGTCCCATAGTCTTGCCAGTCTCAAATTCTCAGCCCTGTCCTCCTTCGCAGAGTTGGGCACCAGCATAGTGTCAATCTCTTCCTCTTGAAAAAACGAAAGCGCGGCTCTTGAAAAAGCAACCACAGAGGGCCTGAAAGGTATTGTTCCATGGGCCACTTTCCAGGGCCTACCAACTTGAGGCGCTCGACACAAAGGTTCTTGTAGGGGTTGAGCTCAGGGCGCCTGTCAATGTCAAGGAGATGAGGATCAGGGTCAAAATGGACAGGCTTGGGCTGAGCATAGCTTTGTCTCAGCTCCTCATGCTGCTCAAGCTGCACTGGAGCGGCTGCAAATTCAGGGCCGGAGCGTCCCGGGATCAGCTTGAAGGCTTCCTGGTTTGCTCCACACACATTGTGAGCGACCTCAGGCGTTGGAAACATTTGGCCTGCATGGTGTTTGGTCGCCTCCCGAGTTCTTCACACGAGGTGCCTAACCAAGTACATGTAGTTCAAGATGTAGACAATGCAGTGCAAGAGACTCTTCCTGTCAACCGCAGCAAAATTCCTCTTGGGCAACCCAGGGCCACTGCCACGAAAACATCCAGGATGAGGCGCAGGCAGAAGAAACAATGTGGTAGGTGCTGAAGATGTTCGGCACCAGCATGCAGTGAAAGAACGTTTCAAGTGCCAGCCAAAGACGTGCGGCACTTCAGGAACAGGCGCGGTATACAAATGGCCCACACATCAAAAGTAGTAGTGGCTTCAAAAGGCTTAACTCCTGTCCCTTGAGAAGCTTGGCCTCCGCCCTCTAGGCCTCCACCTCTTCCGCTAAAAACTGGCCCTTCCCGCCCCCCTTTTTCTTCCCACCCTGCTTTGCTTTGGCCTTGGGCTTTGTGGTGGCTGCTTCTGACGAACTGTCTGAAACTGATGAATGACCCACTAGCTCTTGCCTCTTGCTCTGGATCACTTCGAGCTCCTTCAGAAACGCCAGGGCCAGCGTGACCCAACGCTGATCGGCGAGTGGGGCAAAGGCGCGAGGTCGCGATGGTCATTTGCCGGTTGACAAATATCGTTGCCGGTGTATCTTCCGGCAGACAAAGCAAATTTGCTAAATCCATGCGGCCTCCGTCTACGCAGGCTTGTTCGATGATGACTGCAAGAAGAGCCAGGGTGTCTTTCGCGGCCTCGATCTGATCTGCCATCATGAAGTCCAGACAGGTCATGACCTGGCACTGCAACTGCCCCAGTTCTCTCTGCCGGCCAGAACCGCCAAACCTTTCCAAGTAGCGGACACCTGAAATCCCCTGTTGATGAGAAGTCAAGTCTGACGGCAATGTTGGTGCCATCCTGCGGGCCATGCTCTGAGTCACTGCCTTGAAGAACAGCCCCTTTTGAGATGCTAGCTCGGCTAGCAATTTGGCCTGACCAGTTGCCCCTCTGGCACCTGCTCCTCCAGCAGTTGTGAACTCCCATAGGATCTCCTTGGGACTCAACCAATCTGCGAAACAAGACTTGTCAAAGCCTGGGACTGGGCCAACACAGCCTGGGCCAGTGCATCTCCTGCGATCTGGGTAGATCCTGCAGGTTGGTCCAGCCTCTCGGCCTCCAAAGCCTCCACCTCCGCAGGGCGTGCAACTCCACGGAAACCGTCGGAAATGAAACCGTTCTAAATGGGCGGGGCACTGCTTTGGCTAGCCCCGACATAGGGTGGCGAGGCAAGTCCAAAGCCTGACCAAGTGGTTGAGCCACCGCTACTGCTGCAGACTTTCCCAAAGTAGGAAGCTGATCCTCGAAGATCATCTGTTTGTCGCCCAGGGCCTGCATTTGTAGAGTCAACTGAGGCAGCGCCTCCATCACCTGCTGCAATTGGGTTGACAGGCTTGCTGTCGTGACGCGCTTGGGCTTTTGTCCATCTCCGGTAGGAATAGCCTTTGTGTGACGCCTTCTTTGGACAGGAGGCGTTGCAGGTTCTGGTGTCAATGATCCTGGGTCGACCTCTTCCTCTGGTGTGTAGACGTGTGTAGAAAGCTGCAAGCTGATCTGAAGTGGCCACTGCCCAGGCACGCACCAAAGGTAGAAGAGCATCTATAGAGGGAAAAGAGAATGGCGCATCTTCGTCGTAGGAGTACACAATCTCCTCCCCTTCCTGGAACTCTCTCAAGTGATTTGCAACCTCCTCCGGGCAGTCGACAACTAGGACTGAAAGCTTCTCCCCGGTCTGGGAGAGAACTCCAGAGCCCGAAATCATTGCCGGGACCTGGAAATCCTGTGAAGGACCAAAAACTGCGTCCATCCCGCCAGCATTGCCTCTTTCTAGAAGATGTGCAGGCAAAAACCGGTCGGCAAAGCCAGCAGGATCCCGCCAGGCCGACGCAGCAGAGCTAACACTGGGCACTCTGCAATTTCTGGGCTTCGAGGATCCAAGGGCCAGGCCAGCAAATAGGGCTGAATCTCTTCGGTAGGTGTGTCGAAGGTCTCGACACCTGCCGCTGCAAAGTACACCTGGGCCTCAATTTGTGGCGGGAAGGAATGACTGATAGAAGATGATGCAGCCAGGTCTTCAATGATGCTCCAATAGGTGTTGCAGACTTGCACAAGGCTGAACCACTGATGTTCTCGGCCCTGACAATGGCATACACCCTGGGGCGTAGATCCAACTGCTGGCTCCTGTTTTCAGTGGTAATGTGCCCGTCTCTGACTGCCTTAGCCCACTGGCTGTTCGAATGCAGTCCTCTCCAGACACTGAAGATCCGGACAACTTGGAAGCTTGGGACAAGTGAAAACGAGGGCCAGGAGCAAAAGAGCAGCAATGCTTGCATGCGACTCAGCCACTGGTTCAGGTGCAGGGGCTTCAGAGACCAGGTCAAAGGAGGATTCTGGTGATGCCATGCGAAGATGATGGTTGAAGGCCTGCCTCGCGGGTTTTCCTGGGTCGGGCGGTGGCTTGATCCTGAGGGCCAGCAATGGTAACCCGAAGGCCATCAACAGTACAAGACAACCCAATCGTGTCTCCGTCTTGTCTGTGTATGCTCATACAAGTAACCAGCAAGTGCAATATGACGGGGCCCCACCGGAAAGTGAAGAGGAGCACCCGGGGGACAGAAGGAGAAACCCAAGTCCAGAGGGTCCAGAGGGTGAAGCCAGCACGAAGAATTCCATAGGTAGCACCTGCAAGGAAGGCAAGCAGCAAGTGAGAGATCCCAGGTTGAAAGCACTGGGCGGGGCAGCCCCACCCAAACCAATTTCTGCGAGCCCCCTCAAAGCCAAGCTGGGCCAGACGAAGGACCCCTTCCACCATAGAGCTCGAGATTGAAAACATGACATGCAGTTGCAAGCTTGTGGTCATTTACATATGAAGGTGATGCTGATGATGATGATGATGATGATGATGATGACGATGACGATGACGATGACGATGACGACGACGACGCCCATGATGGTGGTGGCTGGTGTGCTTGTGAGGATTGGTTTTGGGTGGGTGCCCGTGGGTGGATGCAGGTGTTCCACGGAGGACGCAAGCACTGATCTTTATTACCATATCAAATGAATGGATGTTTATGGATGTTGATCTGATAGTAGTGGACATTCATTGACAACATCTTAACCAAGGTGATCCAACGTGGCCCACAGTGCGAATGCCAAGGCACATGTCCTTGGAATCTTTCTTGCCACGGTAGCAACAAATGCCCAAGGTCTCATCTTCAGGTGGCACATATTTTGGCACTTCTCGGCCGTGAGTGCCCTGCACACGTAAGGCTTGAAGCGGGGCATGGGATTGCTGGTTGTCACTGTGTATCCAAACTGTGTAGCCCGCAGTCCTCCACAATCTTGAAGTTGGAATCATACCCTGCACGGCACCATTCCTTGCAACACACAACTAGCTGGCATCTAAGAGAAATCTCACACATGAATTGCATGCTGTTGATCACATGATCCCTTTCAGTCTGTCATATCAAGGCCAAACCAAACATGACCAAACTACGAAATGCATTTTGAATCAACAATAATTGATGCGGCCACTACTGCTCCAAGATTCACCATTGCAGCTCTTGCAGCTATTTTTGCCCTGGGAGCAATGCGGGTCGCCTCAGAGAAGGGATCTCCACTTTCTCACAGAAGGTGCAGGACTAAGGCTGGGAGCCGTGCTGGAAGTTCCCGTAGGGTAGGCCGTGCGGCACTTGTTGGAGGGATCCGCCGCTCCAATAACCTAATGAAAACAGATGCAGCCTGACCCTTGTGATTTGACAAATGAATCACCTCAGTGACTAAGCGCAGGACACACTTGGAAGCGCACCAGACGCCTCCGCAATGACCACCTGAGTTCTCAGACAGGGATTGAAAGCTTCAGAATCTTCAGACTCCAGACTGTGTCCTTCTAAGGGCTAAGAGAGATTCACATGAAGAAGTTGCACAACGCTGCACTCATGTTCAGCTAGATCCAAGTTGCACTCATTCTTCTTGGAGCATTTGCTCAGGTAGGAAGCGATGGACATAGGATAGCATGTGCCGCAAGTATCTCTCTTGCTCTCCCCGCTGAAGCAGCAAGTGCCTCCTTCCTCTTGCTCCCTCTTCTCCTGCAGTTTTGTCGCATTTACCTTTTCCGCCGGCGCGACATGCTCCTCGTCCTCATCTTCGCTCTCTTCGGCAGCCGGTGTAGCTGCCGCTGCTTCTGCAGGTTCCACCGGCGCAGGCATGTCTGACGACTTCGGTAGCTCGGGAACACCACGGAGTTGAGGATTGTCCTTAGGAGCAAGTCGTATTTTGCCAAATTGTGCATTCAACTTGCCAAATTCTTCAAAAAAACGGCGGTGCAGAGTGCTAGCTGAGATGGGATAAGTCACCGATGCGAGAGCCACAGAAGCGCACAAAATCGCAGCAAGAGAGAGGACTGATGGCATTGTTGATGACAAAAAATACGATTCACTGAGGCACAAGGAGTTTAAAGAGCCAAATTGCTGCGTGGTGGGCTACATACTTGTCTCGCATCTCATGGAAGTCCTGGTTACAGCATTACAAACCCAAAGTCTCCAAATTTCATTTTATTTCAAGTCTGATGAGGCCTGGTGTCGAAGGAGGTCCACCCTCTAGAGATATTTACAGTGGTTGTTTCACGAGGATAGGCATGGGCTCCTGATCCACAGTTTTCTCGGAAATATACCTGACCCCTGTTGACAAATCAAAGAATAGTTGCACTTATCAAACGTATCAGTCCACTCGTTGCACTGGGCATCACCCTGTCACTTGTTCCACTGCTCCCACTCCTTGCAGTCCAACAACTTGCCACAAGGCTTGCGGCAGGAGAACTCGGACTGCCCACAGAGGCGCATCTCCTGCACCAACGAAGATACATGGGTCGATTCACGGCACAGATGGGAATTGTTGTGAAGTGCAAGTTTTTCTGCAGCACTTCGACTTACATTTGCATATATTATAGTGCATTACGCTACATTACATTACGCTACATTGTTTACATTATATTACATTACATTACATTATATTATACTTTATCAAATTATATTATATTATATTACATTATATGATATTACATGATACTGTACTCTATTATTATATTGTGTTAATTTAGATAAATCTATTTTACATTTTACAGTACTAAAAAAATATAATGTTGAATTGTACTGTATTAAATATCATGATATAGTATCAGATTAAGTTCTTTTTAGAATGTTTTTTTTTGAAAAAATATATGGCATTATATTGTGTTATATTGTGTTATATCAAACTATTTTAAAACATATTCTATTATATTAAATTATAATATTATTTTGTATCATATTCATGATATTACATCTAATTACATTGTACATTGTTTTACACTGGCGAACATTATTTTACATTTCATTACATTTCATTACATTTTATTACATCATTGTATTACATTATATTACATTGTGCACATTTTACTACGTAATTGAACTTTATATTACATTATGCTTGCGTATTTTTTAACAGACTGTACTAAACTATATCAAATCATATTGTCTTTTACGGTACTGAAGTACATTATGCCTTTATGATGTTGAATTAAATTTTACATGTGTATATATATATATTGTATATTTGATTGTACTATATTTTATTGTATTATATCAGATAATGCCCAGACCATGCTCGGCCGGAAGCTTCGCAAAGTTATAAGAAATCAATGGCCTATAGGAAATTTTTCGCGATGGAGAAGCAATGAAGTGTTGAAGTTCCGAGGTGCATCAAAGAATGGGCAAAATGGGATGGTGGCTAAGATGCGAATGAGAGGGCATCAAATAAACCATGCACAACAAACCGAATGAACCAATGAATCAATGAATGAGTGACTTAGTGAGTCGATGAATCAAGGTGACAAGGGAAACGTGAACCAATGAATCGATGAACCAAAAAAGACACTGGATCATTAAATGAATGAATGAATGAATGAATGGATGAATGAATGAATGAATGACTGAATGACTGAATGACTGAATGAATGAATGAATGCATGCATGAATGCATGCATGAATGCATGCATGAATGCATGAATGCATGAATGCATGAATGCATGAATGCATGAATGCATGCATGAATGCATGAATGAATGAAGGAAATGAAATGAAATGAAATGAAATGAAATGAATTAAAATGAAATGAATGAATGAAATGATGAAATGAAATGAAATGAAATGAAATGAAAATGAAATGAAATGAAAATGAAATGAAAATGAAATGAAAATGAAATGAAATGAAAATGAAATGAAATGAAATGAAATGGAATGGAATGAATGAATGAATGAATGAATGAATGAGTGACCGAATCAATAGTAACGAATGAATGAATGAACGCATGAACGAATGAACGCATGAACACACGAACGAGTCAAGTAATGACCGAATGAACGAATCAAGGAATGACCGAATGAACGAATGAGCGAATGAGCGAATGAACGACTGAACGATTGAAGGAATGAACGAATAAGCAAATGAGCAAATGAGCCAATGAGCGAATGAACGAATGAGCGAATGAACGACTGAACGAATGAAGGGACGTTCGGAGGAATGAAGGAATGAACAAGTGAGCGACTATAAACGACTGAACGACTGCATAAACGACTGAACGAACGAACGAAAGAACGAACGAACGAACGAACGAATGAACGAAGGAAGGAATGAAGGAACGAATGAATGGATGGATGGATAGATGGATGGACGACAGGATGGATGGATGAGTGAGCTGGCTCCTTGTTGAGACAATGCGTTGTGTCACACCGGTAGCAAACCCGCATAGCAGGAGCGACGCATCGACCATCTGCGCTACTCCGAACGCCTCATAATGTTACAACTTTTTGTGCAATGGAGCTCTTGCTACAGTCTCGTGCACATTTTGCTGACCTCATCTTCCAAAAGCACTCCGCGGCTGCCAGCTTTTTGAACATTTTGACATTGAAATAGAGCTCTCGCTCAGTCATGTGCACTTTTTGTTGACAACTTCCCGCACCCACGGAAACAGAGACCCTGCTTCGGCGACTCCAGGAGCCACATCACCCCAAAAAACACAAGGTTTCGGGCTCGAGGGTTGTTTTTTTCACCCGTGGGTTCACACGCTTCTGAACTGTTACACTTCCCAACTACTTGATGATGGGTGGTTGACATGATGATGTGGTTGACATGAGATCGGGTTGACAGGATGGTGTGCATGCATTTTGTATTAAATATATTAACCATGTTTCTTAAATTTTATTACATTACATTACATTAAACTATATTTTACTATGTTATACTATAGTCTATTCTATTATATTGTAATGGCATTTTGATTCTTAATTATATCATTGACTATTGTTGCCACATTATACTGTATAATGTCTTATTTTTTCTATATATGATATTACATTATATTCTGTTGTGTTATACTATTTTTGTATTGTATGTTAGCTTTGATATATTCTATTTCATGCTATATTATGTGATATTTTCCTGGTATGATGGTTGTTATACTTGTATTTTGTTGTAGTATACTGTTTTTTGTTATACTATACTATCCCAAGTTTTACTTTATTAGATTATATCCAATCAAATTACATTCTATATATTATACGTTGTTATACTTTACATTTTTGATATTACACTATATTTTGTTATATATCATATATCATACTGTTTTGAATCATATCCGCCGACCCCGGCAGACGCAAGGGGGAGCGCGCCAGGGAATAATACTTTTGACTCTTGTTTCGGACTACTACTACTACTACTACTACTACTACTACTACTACTATTTAAAGGTAGCCAAACTTCATATTCATAGCAGCAGCAAGAGGAAAAAGCCGCCAAAATCATCATTTTCTATGGGTTTCAGAAGTTACGTTAGGCATTTTGGGGGTGCAATTTTGGGGCTTCTCCGTCCTTCAGAGGCATGGTGTTTCGCCCCTGGGAGGTGATTTCTTCCATGGTGTTTTCCTATTTGGGGACCGGATGTTTAGGTAGCTACTGTTCATGGCAGCAGCAAGGAGGAAAAAGGAGCCAAAAGCATCATTGTCTATGGGTTTCAGAAGCCACGTTAGGCATTTTCGGGGTGCAATTTTGGGGCTTCTCCGTCCTTCAGAGGCATGGTGTTTCGCCCCGGGAGGTGATTTTTTCCATGGTGTTTTCCTATTTGGGGACCGGATGTAAAGGTAGCTAAAATTCATGGCAGCAGCAAGAGGAAAAAGGAGCCAAAAGCATCATTGTCTATGGGTTGCAATTTTGGGGCTTCTCCGTCCTTCAGAGGCATGGTGTTTCGCCCCCGGGAGGTGATTTTTTCCATGGTGTTTTCCTATTTGGGGACCGGATGTAAAGGTAGCTAAAATTCATAGCAGCAGCAAGAGGAAAAAGGAGACAAAAGCATCATTTTCTATGGGTTTCAGAAGTTACGTTAGGCATTTT